AGGCTGCCCTGACCTCATGAAAACCATCACCCTTTTTAGATCCTCATAATAACAAGTTACCACTGTGGTGAGCTGCAGAACTAGATTTTATCTTGTTGTAATGTGTCACAGTATAAAAAAAAGCTGGAATCCATTGATTTAGGGGTTTACAGTAACAAAATTCATCAGCTGAATTGGCCATGGATGGCTGTCAGCATTGGTGGTTCTGGAACCCTAAACAGGATGATAGCAGCTTGGGAGTGAATCGATAAAGTATTCCATAGTGTAGTACAGGTGGGAAAAAGGAGAGATTGGTCAGATACAACAAATGGTCAGGGTAGACAGCAAAGGTTCATCTTGGAAGAGGGGTTTTAACCCCTTCAGCAACATGGGACGGTGGGTGGGAGGGAGAGGGGCACTGCAGTGCTAGAAAAAAAGAATATGTTTTCCTGGCACTGGAGAGTCCTTTTAAGGATGTATTAAATATGTGGGGGCTTCATAGTGTCACACACTGCAGATTTTTCTAATAATCAATAGCAACGATTTAAAACCCTGTGTACTTCTGTTATTTGCACAAATAAATTAATGGATAGATTTAAAAGAAAACCACTGGTAGTATCACTTTAAATTTGCAAGAAACCAGACAGATAAAGAAATAGAATCCAAATACTAGCAAACTATGCAGGGAATACAATGGGAACTGGATTTTATCTGTGCTATTATAGACTGGCCAGAGCTGAGGCCTCACATGATGCTCGTTTTAAGGGTGTTTGAATGATAGGCAGCAGAGAAATTAGGTTAGAAAATGGAAACCAAAGACATATATTAAAGGGACACTACAGACATTAAAACAACTTTAGCTTAATGTAGCAGTTTTGTTGTATAGATAATGCTCTTGCAGTCTCACTGCTCTGCCATTTTGTAGTTAAATCACTTTTGTTTCTGTTTATGCAGCCCTACTTTCACCTTTCCTGACACTGCCTGAATTAAAACAAAATGGTTTCATTTTAAATCAGATGTTAACTTACTTTAGAAGTTTATTATCTCCTGCACTGTAAATTTAACTTTAATCACACACAGGGGGCTCCTGGAAGGTCTAGCAACGCTTTTAAAGCTATCTGAAGAACATTTTGGAGGACAATTCACAAAACAGCATAGTGGTTTAAGGGTTTATTCACCAAACAGCGAATTTAAGCAAATTGAAAACTGAATTGCAAAATTAAGCTATTTTGACTTGAATTTTCTAAATTAATTTTTAGTACACAACAATTCCGAATATACTGAACACACTCCGTTTATATCTATTTTTACTTACACATTTAGGCATTACGGACTTGGAAATTTTTTTTTTACTATTTTTGGGAGAGTGCATTTCTCACTTTTAGAATGCAGCCCAATAGATATATTACTACAAATTAAGTAACTCTTCACTGGAATAATGCAACTTTTTAGCGCCAAAAATTACAGATTATAAATGTTCTATCTGGTCTGTATGATATTTCACAAGATGTAAAAGCTAAAAAAATATTATAAATAATACTTCATCGCATTATAGCTTATAAATGTATTTTCCAAAACAAACAAGTGAATGCTAATTAAGGTATTTTAATAATACTTAAAGGGACAGTATAGTCACCAAAATATCTTTAGTTTATTGAAGTGGTTATGGTGTATAGATCATGCCCCTGCAGTCTCACTGCTCAATTTTATGTCATTTAGGAGTTTAATCACTTTGTTTATGAAGCCCTAGTCACACCTCACTGCATATGACTTGCACAGCCTTCCTATTCACTTCCTGTGAGTCATCTAATGTTTACACTTCCTTTATTGCAAATTATGTTTAATTTAAAATGTCTTATTTCCTGCTCTGTTAATAGCTTGCTAGACCCTGCATGAGCCTCCTGTGTGCAATTAAAGTTCAATTTACAGAGCAGGAGATAAAAACGTTTAAAATATGTTAACATGTGATTGAAAATTAAACTGTTTATCATGCAGGCTTTGTCTGTTACAGAAATAAATGGTGTGGCTTGGGTTGCATAAACAAACATGATTACTTATTATTGGGAAGAGAATTGAGCAGTGAGGCTGCAGGGACATGATCTATACACCAAAACCGCTTCATGAAGCTAAAGTTGTTTTGGTGACTAAAGTGTCCCTTTAATTTAACTCATTAATGCCATTAGGGCGTGTGCAATATGAAATTAGATAAAATTATAGTTGAACAAACATATTGCGCAAACTCTAGGTTATGTTTTGGTCAGAACTTGTACAATTGCCTCCGTCTTTAAAGATGGCTGCCCACTTCCTTAACCCCTTAAGACCGCAGCCAAATGTACAAGTTGTGATCAAAACAAACCGTAAACAAAACCTGGCATTTGCGCTGTATGTCTGTCCAACCGTAATTCGCCTCTTTCATATTAAATGCACCCACACTTATATATCTTTTTATTCAGGGGAAACAGGGCTTTCGTTTAACATCAAATATTTAGGTATGGAACATAATTTAATATGAAAAAAATATTAAAAAATGGGAGAAAATAAGAATTTAAAAAAATTTTTTAGTTCTACATGACATTTTAACTGTGAATGTCAAAATACTGTTTGCTTTTACTGCAGTAACATACACATATTTGTATTCAGCGATGTCTCACGTGTAAAACAGTACCCCCTATGTACGGATTTTATGGTGTTTTGGGAAGTTACAGGGTCAAATATAGCGTGTTACATATTTCAGTTTTTTCACATTGAAATTCACCAGATTGGTTATGTTGCCTTTGAGACCATATGGTAGCCCAGGAATAAGAATTACCCCCATGATGGCATACCATTTGCAAAAGTAGACAACCCAAGGTATTGCAAATGGAGTATGTCCAGTCTCTTTTAGTAGCCACTTGGTCACAAACACTGGCCAAAGTTAGCGTTAATATTTTAAAATGCAAAAAACTTTCAAAACAGTAAAACGTATCACAACAATTATATTGTCAGTGTAAGTGCCATTTGTGTGTGAAAAATGCAAAAAATGTCACTGCCACTGACGATATCGTCGTCGTAATACATTTTACTGTTTTGAAACACTAATATTTGTGTTCAGCGAAGTCTTCCAAGTAAAACAGTACCCCCCATGTACAGTTTTTATGGTGTCTTGGAAAGTTACAGGGTTAAATACAGTGCTAGCAAATTAAATTCCCTGGACTTTTGGCCTGGGTTGTCAGGCAGGTCCTGCAAATTGTAATTAAGAAATTTTACGTATTTTTTATTATATATATATATACATACATAGATCATAGATATAATAAATATATATATATATATATATATATGATCTAAGTATATATTATTTAATTTTACATTGTTTTAACATCTTTGAATTTTATTTCAAGGCAGCAGGGGGAGTACCTGTCATTACAATGCCTATGCCATCCATGTGATCGCGGGGTCCTCGCAAGGACCTCGCGATCACATGGCCCAGTGGGGCTGAAGAGGATGGAGGAGGACTCCCTGGTAAGTCCCCATACCGCGATTGCCGGTGTGGAATTGCCGGCGACCGGGTAAGTACAAAAGATCGCAGGGCGTCCTATGCCGCCCTGCGGCGTTTAGAGCCATCTGAATAGGGACGGCATAGAACGCCCTGCAGTCTTAAGGGGTTAAACGCAACTTGACCAAAACTGAAATTCTGGTATTTCCTCCCTCAAGTGTTGCTACTCCTGTGTCTGTCTCCCTCCAAGTCAATGGTGCTATCATTAGCTCCACCACGCAGACTCGCTGCCTAGGTGTTCTCTTTGACTCTGACCTCTTCTTCATGCCTCATGTTCAGTCTATTGCCAAATCCTGTCGGTTCCATCTCAAAAACATTGCACGCGTCCGACCCTACTTCACGCCAGATGCGACTAAGGTGCTGGTCCATTCCACTGTCCTTTCTCGCCTTAACTACTGTAATCCGCTTCTTAGTGGTCTTACGTGCTCCCAACTTGCGCCATTACAGTCCATAATGGATGCGGCGGCCAGGCGCTTCTTCTTGTCTGCCCGCACCACCCACGCCTCACCCTGCTGTCAGTCCCTACATTGGCTTCCTGTAAGATATAGGGCTCAATTTAAAATTTTGGTTCTTGCTTTCAAATTTCGACATAATGCTGCTCCCACCTATCTTTCCTCCCTAAAAAACAAGTATGTCCCGTCTAGGGCCTTACGCTCCGCTGAAGACTCACATCTATCTCCTGTTTTCCCCTCTTGCAACTGTCATTAGTCTAATACTATCCTTACCTTTTGTGTCAATTTACCCCACTCCCTCTAGCATGCAAGATCATTGAGCAGGGCCCTCAACCCCTCTGTTTCTGTCTGTCCAACTTGTCTGGTTACAACTACATGTCTGTTCGTCCACCCACTGTAAAGCGTTGCGGAATTTGTTGGCGCTATATAAATAATAACATAATAATAAAGGACCACTATAGACACCCAGACCACTTCAGCTCAATGACGTAATCTGGGTGTAGGTCCCCCTGGCTTTAACCAAGCAGCTGAAAACGTAGCAGTTTCATAGAAACTATGTTTTTATTAAGGGTTAATCCAGCCTCTAGTGGCAGTCTACCTGACAGCCACTAGAGGCCGCTTCCACGATTCTCAGTGTGAAAATCCCACTAAGATGAAGCGGACGTCCATAGGAAAGCATTGAGTAACGCTTTCCTATTGGCGACTTGAATGCGCGCGTGGCTCTTGCGTATTTGGAGCGGACGTCGGCAGGGGCAGGAGAGGTCACCAGTGCCGATTGAGCTCGGTACTGGATTAAGGTAAGTGGCTGAAGGGGTTTTAACCCCTTCAGCCCAGCGGGAAGGGAGGGGGGAATCTAATAACCCTATAGTGCCAGGAAAACTAGTTTGTTTTCCTGGCACTATAGTGCTCCTTTAAGGGGGCAAGCAACGATAATTGTAATCGGCTCTCTATAAAATAATCTATTCCGTGTTCAAAAAAATATTTTAAACCATTACAAAAAAAATAAAAAAAATAAATTGACAGCACTCAGTGGATGGCAATTAAACAAAATTTATTTTAAGGCAAATGTACAGCAGGCTATAAACATGCAATGTGTTTAACAATGTTCTGTGACTTTCTTTTCATAGACTTCAAATTTGTATTGAATACCATTTTCTTCTTGGATCTCAGAAGGTATTTCAGGGTACCTAAAAAATATTTATATATATTTAGACATATATTCTTATGTAGCAAACAAGCCCATAATAATTTGATTTAAAAAAAATAAAAAAAAATAAATCACACACATTGTTTTAAAGTTACCTGTTAATATTGCCAGATCAAAGAATATGCTTACACTTATAAATATTGTAAGTGTCCCTCTGCAATAAAATCCATCTATACCCATTTTGGAGATACTTTTTTTTCGTTAGTGTTACCTCATCTCTAGACAACAAACTCAACATCTTTAATTTTCTTACTTTAAAGGGATACTCTAGGCACCAAAACAACCTTAGCCAAGAATCAAAATTTATTTAATTCCTAAATGAGAGAAAACTGAGCAGTTAGATTGCAGCGGCATAATCTGTACACCAAAACTGCTTCATTAAGCCAAATTTGTTTTGTTGCCTATAGTATTCCTTTAAAACCCATTCCTTCTCGAGTCTCCATGGATGACTTTGTAATGAAGGAAAGTATATTTAAACAATACTCTAGGATTCATTAAATATCACAGTTTGGGCAGGGCCCCCATCACCTACTGTTACCATATATCACACTTTTTTTAAAAGGAAAAAATACATTTAATTCTATTGAACAGCGCTATGGAATATGGTGTTGCTATACAAATAATTGTAATTGTGGCTGAGCTACAATGATGATATACATGTTTAACTAGGAAGGGCACGCTTCCATCATTTTTTTCAAGTAAGGTCCTGGGGCCCGGATATTATTTTATAACTCAATGGTACTCATTGTATTGACCTAGGGAAGTTATTAAATATTCTTGGGAATTGAACCTGGAACCATAAAATACAGCAGATGGAGCTCTAGTCACTAAGCTATCTCATCAGCTTCTATTGACTCAGTCTTTAAGCTAAGAATTTTAAAAAGAAAAGGCTATATTAGAAAATGTGATGCTTTTAGCCCGAACATTGAATACAATCTTTTCTCCTTTATCTTGGGTAATTCAATATTGCAGATTGTGCAAAGAGGTTTGCTGTTTAGATAGGTAATTTATATGTAAACGTCAATGTGTCCATTCTTATTAGATTCATGTGGTATTATTTCTGCAAATATTCAAAGTGTGAACCAAAACTTAAATGTGAACACAGCCACTTGTGTGTACCACAATTGGATCATTTTGTGAGAGATTATAATTTAGGAGGCAGGACAGTTTTAACATCTATTATTTTTTTAATTCAATTAAAATTAAATAGTTGCTCTAATAAGATGTTCTACATGGTGACAATGATCTTTAACAATCATATACTTTATACAGAGAGAATACATCACTGTGTCTACTGATGCTGGAACTAAGGTTCGACCTATTACTTAATATGTTTAATATAGAGTGTGTGTGTGTGCGTGCGTGCGTGCGCAATAGTGTGTTAGAAATACAATTATTCCTTACACTATAGGGTTCCTTTATAGAAAATCCTCCACATCAGCTATTTGGCCTAACACAGGCTATTCCCTGATTAGTGCAAGGGAAAACCAAGTACTAAAACCACCTTAACGTGGTTGTTGCCTCTCAGACTGTTTCTACTGTCCGATGCAGAAATACAGATGATATTTTATGTTTAGCCTACTGAAATGGTTGCACAAAATTAAATTTTTCTTAAATTATGGAAACTCTGAGTAAAATGTATAAATGAAAAGATCCGTCTTTACTACATTTTGCATGGATTGTAACGGAATGATGTGTATCGCCATTTGTGTTTTACTTACTCAGGGAGGAGTTTGTAGGACTGGAAGTCAATTTCTGGTAAGAATGTATCACACACGAACTCTTTCAGAATTCTAGTCAGGAAGAGTCTCTGATTTACTGGCTTGTCCAATAACTCCTGAAATACAGAGGAAAAAAAATGCAGATTTGTTGTGCCATTCTAAAATGACTAACATAGCAGTAATGTTTAGTTTAGGGAGTCAATGGACAGCGTACTGTAGCAATATAACCAGTGAACACCCACAAAGCTGTAGTGTGACTACTTGATGGTCCACTATGGAGAGCCAACGCCTGATGTGATAGAAAACAATGAACAAAACAAAGAAGAAAGCAATGGGTAGCACTATACAGAACTGGGGGTGCTGAAATGGCCTAAAGCATCAATGCAGATCCATAATGTAAACTACTATTCCAGCAGCATCTCTCCAGGGCTACTGCACGTGGCTCACAAAAAGAACAGAACACCTCTCTGTGCGTAAGCCAGCTGCCTCAGCACAAGCAACCAGTGGGCAAATAGTTTGGATTTTTAAAAAAAAATCTGGGCCCGGATTTAATTAATTCGCTCTGGATTGCAGCGGCATCTGGTACGGCTGATAAACTGACCATATTCAGGCAGGTTTCGGGTCTGATTTACAAACTCCGGAGATTAATGAATTCAATCAACAATGTCCAGATTTTGCAATCTAAATGGTCCCGTACAGCAGCAAATGGTTTTGCCCCATTCGGTACTGGAGAGAAGGACAGAGAGGAGGGAAGTGGGAGGGAGAAATAGAAATCAGTCCTACAAAATTGCAAATTAAAAAGAAGAAACAAGAAAAAAAGTGTCATCTGTATTAGTGAAATAAATATCCAACCCTTGGCACAAAATGTTTTTACAGGAAGCAGATATTGGCATCGCTAAATCATTATAAAACGTGATCTCAAACGGCAAATACAGAATTTAATGATTAATCACAACAGATGCTCTGTTACCAAAAATATTTAACTGTGGATTGCAATAAAAAAAAACATTAAAATTACATCCTCTTCCAAAGTGATGTAGAAAGATTTACATTAAGAAAAATACCTCTATTGAATATATTTGTGTAAGCAAAATCCATTTTTAAATGCAGTTAGAATTGTGAGAAAGTTAAATGTACATTTTTGTTTTTTAAACTCCTAACTGGAGCCTCTTTCGATCTGATCATGTTATCCACAAAAACGCATTGCTCCTTCATTAATAGACGCTCACATGAGAGCTTCATAGGGAACATCAGGCATTATATTTTACAAAAAGTCATTTTTTCAGCTAGTGCTTCTAAGACCACATCACCAGTTCTCCATGATAGTTTTCTCCCATTTCCCTAAGCCCCACACAGTGCTGCATCCAATCCCTCAGTCTCCGCATCAATGCCAATTAAATTAATCTAGCATTTAATTCCAAAATAACACCCATTCATCTGGCTGAGTATCTATCAAATTTATAGATAGATTGACCAAATGGGCTTCGAGAGGTTTTGTGAGCACACTGCAATAGACTTTTTTCGTGCTTTAAAAAGGGCTCTTTTAGTACCCAGTAGACTTAATAGGTTAAAAACAAACCAAAATAATCCATAAAACATACCATAATTCCAATTCGAAGACAGGCTCATGACAGCAGTTTAATCTGCATACTGCGAAATCATTAACATTGGTGATTTCTGGTCCAATCTGTAATTGTTATTGTATTTATTTATATAGCGCCAACAAATTCTGCAGCGCTTTACAGGATGTGGACTAACAGACATGTAGTTGTAACCAGACAAGTTGGAAACACAGGAACAGAGGGGTTGAGGGCCCTGCTCAATGAGCTTACATGCTAGAGGGAGTGTGGTAAAATGACACAAAAGGTAAGGATAGTATTAGACTAATGACAGTTGCAAGAGAGGAATCAGCCGGGCGCTATTAACAGTTTAATTGATACGCTTTTATGAAGAAGTGGGTTTTAATGATTTTTTTGAAGGAGTGGAGACTGGGTGAGCATCTAATGGAGGAGGGAAGTGAGTTCCACAGGAACGGTGCAGCCCTCGAGAAGTCTTGAAGGCGAGCATCAGAGGTGGGAGTACGGACATAAGATAGACGTAAGTCTTCAGCAGAGCGTAAGGGGCTAGACGGGACATATTTGTGTATTAGGGAGGATAGATAGGTGGGAGCATCATTATGTAGAGATTTGAAAGCAAGAACCAGAATTTTAAATTGAGCCCTATATCTTACAGGAAGCCAATGTAGGGACTGACAGAAGGATGTAGCGTGGGAGGTGTGGGCGGATAGTAAGATAAGCCTAGCCACCGCATTCATTATGGACTGTAACAGCACAAGTTGGGAGCACGTAAGACCACTCAGAAGCGGATTACAGCAGTCAAGGCGAGAAAGGACAGTGGAATGGACCAGCACCTTAGTCGCATCTGGCTTTAAGTATGGTCGGATACGCGCAATGTTTTTGAGATGGAAACGATAGGATTTGTCGATAGATTGAACATGAGGCGTGAAGGAGAGGTCGGAGTCAAAGAGAACACCTAGGCAGCAAGCCTGTGTGGTGGAGCTGATGGTAGCCCTGTTGACTTGGAGGGAGATAGACACAGGAGTAGCAACTCTTGAGGAAGGAAAGACCAGAATTTCTGTTTTGGTCAAGTTTAGTTTAAGGAAGCAGGCAGGCATCCAGTTAGAAATAGCAGAGAGGCAGTCAGATACTAGTCAAGAGGTAATCTCTGATACAGCAGCACTGAGGAGCTAAGGTGCCCAAAAGTGGCTTCTCTCCGCCTATAATGAGCATTGGGTGCATTCTGTGTTATCACGCTGTCCGTGATTATACCAAATGTAAAGATCTTCAAAAATCCAAGGTCCTAAGGAGAAAGTGCCTTTAGGGTCATTCAGTCTGATGATGAGGTATATTCTCAGACAAACGTTTCTCACAAATTTCAACGTTTTAAATTGTCTAAAAAAATGAACAGCATCTCTGCACCAAGACCACTACATTAAAGGACCACTATAGGCACCCAGACCACTTCAGCTTAATGAAGTGGTCTGGGTGCTAGGTCCAGCTAGGGTTAACCCCCCCTTTTTTTTTTTTTATAAACATAGCAGTTTCAGAGAAACTGCTATATTTATAATAGGGTTAATCCAGCCTCCAGTGGTTGTCTCTTGACAGCCGCTAGAGGTGCTTGCGTGCTTCTCACTGTGATTTTCACAGTGAGAAGACGCCAGTGTCCATAGGAAAGCATTGTGAATGCTTTCCTATGGACTGGCTGAATGCGCGCGCAGCTACTGCCGCGCATGCGCATTCAGCCGAAGAGGAGGAGAGCTCCCATCCCGGGGCTGGAAAAAAGGTAAGGGCCCAAGGTATATCAAATATAGCAGGATGGACCTAGTACCAAATTTTGATACTATCATTTGCACTACCATTACAGCACAAGCCTAGTTCCAGTAATACTCACCCTCATCTAAACTATTTACTAATCCTGGAACATGCCATGGATTGCCCAGAAAACTGATTTTAAAATTAAAATGGTTACCTCAAGCTCCATCCATAACCACTTCGTTGGTTTTAAGTGGTAGTGGTGCCTGCAGTGTGTATGTGCACCGTCTCACTATGAAATGCTGCACATACGGAGTTTAACCCTACTGTTAACGGAGGATTAACTCTACCACTCGCAGTTAGAGGTTTTTTTACGGAGGGGGTGATGAGAAGGTGATGCTGGTAGGGGTTTCACTAATCCCCCTATGGTACAAACTACTAATTGCCACTACAGACATATTGCTTCTTTTATATCACTATCAGTGATATTTTTGTTTAAAAATAAGTTTTCTTATTGTGGTCTGGTTCCTATAAAATCTGCAAAGCATATATCGGACGTGCTGAATAAGAATCATATATTCCAGAAATATGGAAATATAAGACTTATAAATAATAATAAAAACATTTTTCAAATAAAAGCCAGGAAAATAAAAAAAATTTCTAGCTACTAACTTTTGTCCGGGACTCCTAGATTCTGGTGAGTTACATAGTTACATAGCTGAAAAAGAGACTTGCGTCCATCAAGTTCAGCCTTCCTCACAAATGTTGTTGCTGTTGATCCAAAAGTTAGTGAAACACAGTGTACCCTACTTCTATTTGTAAACAGAATACTTTTTGGATACATTTTAAAGATAGAATTTGCCAAATGTCACTCTAAAGGAAATACATTTTCATGTGACTAGACCTGCTTATTCTCCTGGCCACTTCTTTGACGTGACAATAACAAATTGCGTGACTGGATAATATGCAATGAGGGAGATATACGGAGCTAGGGGTCTTGAGGCAGTAACGACCTTTCAATTTATTAACAAAGTTCACCGCACAGTGTGTTCACCAGGACTCCATGCCTCAACTGCAAGACAGAGCAGTGTGGATTCCTAAATATTTTCAATATTCAGATCTGACAAATTCATATTTACTAAGTGTACGGGATAAGTAAAAAATAAAAAATAAAATATAAGTTGTAATTTATGAAAATAAAAATAAATAAAACTATTGCAAAATGACAGTTCTCCTTTAATGGGAAATAGTAAAAAAAAATTGTAGTAAAATATGCAAAATATACACTAAATGCAAAATTAATTTATTGATGCTGGGACAGTGCATCTCTGTTTTGACAAATGGGAAGTAAAAATATACAGCAGAATATGAACATGTGCACCTTTCATTTCATGTAGCGCATCTTTGCAAAGCAATTTGAAAAATGCTAGAATGGCTCAGTCACCACTCATCAGCATTGGAGAAAATAAATATACTGATCATTCTCCCTCTCGGCGCTTTAATCAAAGAATATTTACTAGCTCTGACAAGAATAAATGACAGGTGTAATTCAAGAAAAGCTGTGATTGCAATTAGATAATGGACACGGGCAGAAATGACATGTAAACACACACACAGAGAGAGAACGCACTTATCAGAAACAGGTGTGCAAAGAAAGACAGCCAAGGAAACCGGCAAATTATCTTCAAAGATAAATAATGAATAAAAAGCATCCTTATGAAAAGAAATGGATGGATATGCTCCAGTGACAACAAAAATAATCGAGAATCAACAGCCTCCCCCCCCCCCAAAAACAGTCAAACCTAAACTAAGTATGCATCACATTGCTGTGTACAATATTAATCATTTTGTAATAAGGCAAATAATACACAGGAGACAAGTTGCAATAATAACCACAGAGCACCAATATCATCATACGGTGTAAGCAGACCGCCACGGATTTTAATTTTTAAAGGACAGTTATGGCTTCCTTTCAATATCCTATACATTACTCCTCAAGTAGAATGATACAAACTATAAAAAGATATATCATGTAAAATATCAGAGTAGAGTACAGCAATAACTACTATCCATAGGCTTTCCATTTTTACTACTACTTCTATTTTTGAAGATACAAAGCCAAACTTTGGAGCTCAGGTCTCATTAAGGGTTGGTCAGCATACCTATTTTTTAATATAATTGTGATTTTACATTTTTAAATTACAAATACAACAGGATTTTATATTTGATTTTCTAAAAATTCTTTGGAGACATCATAATATAATAAAAAAATAAAAATAAAAAAAATTAATTACTGTAAAATAAATGCTCCGCTCAGAATTTCATTTTTCCTGCAATTCTAAAGTTTTTGCAAACTAGAACTATTATTATAATTACTGGTATTTATAGAGCGCCAGCATAGTAACATAGAATGTGACGGCAGATAAGAACCATTCAGCCCATCTAGTCTGCCCAATTTTCTAAATACTTTCATTAGTCCCTGGCCTTATCTTATAGTTAGGATAGCCTTATGCCTATCCCACGCATGCTTAAACTCCTTTACTGTGTTAACCTCTACCACTTCAGCTGGAAGGCTATTCCATGCATCCACTACCCTCTCAGTAAAGTAATACTTCCTGATATTATTTTTAAACCTTTGTCCCTCTAATTTAAGACTATGTCCTCTTGTTGTGGTAGTTTTTCTTCTTTTAAATATAGTCTCCTCCTTTACTGTGTTGATTCCCTTTATATATTTAAATGTTTCTATCATATCCCCCCTGTCTCGTCTTTCCTCCAAGCTATACATGTTAAGATCCTTTAACCTTTCCTGGTAAGTTTTATCCCGCAATCCATGAACCAGTTTAGTAGCCCTTCTCTGAACCCTCTCTAAGATATCAATATCCTTCTGAAGATACGGTCTCCAGTACTGTGTACAATACTCCAAGTGAGGTCTCACCAGTGTTCTGTACAATGGCACGAGCACTTCCATCTTTCTACTGCTAATACCTCTCCCTATACAAATCAAAGGTTGCCTCTTTTTACAGAGGAGTGTGTATAACAAAAGTGCTCAAAAGAGTCAAAAAGTGATTTACAGGCAGCTCAATACACTAGTGTGGAAATATCCTCTATTACACAGCTGACTGAAGAAGCTCTATTTGAGAGTGAAACGCGTATTGGCCATTTTTAAAGGACTTTTATTTGAGGACTTTTATCATCTTTGTTTTTATGTTTATTTTAAACTAATAAATTCACCATTTTTATTCAATACCTCATCCAAGTTCCTTTTGGAGCCTCCAAGGAATCCTCACAGGGGTAGTGCCATCCCCATTCAAACTGGCACAAAATCCACATACCTAGAGCCGGGATTCGTAGGCTCAGGACCAGGTGAGCACCCCATTTATTGAACACATATCTGTGCCATCTATCACCATAAGTCTACACATTGGTTTGCTTTCTTCTCTTTTTTTCGTGTTCCTGAGAAATTCTTCAAGCCGAAGTAGGAGGGTGGTGCTACCATAACAGCACACAAGCCTTTATACGGAGCCAGTGTTTTCTATATACAGGCTCCTTGAAATGTGAGTGTAATATTCAACACAATATTATTATAATCACTGTGAAGCCATTTTTTAGTACCGTCTACACTATATTGTATTTTCTGTATTTTATGTTGACATGTACCCCATATTTTACCATTGAATGAGACTACGTTTTGGTAAGATTTATCTGTGTTTGAGCGCTCCACTTATAGGTGTAGGTCCTTGTCACTTACACCGCACCAATATCCTCTCCCTATACAACCAAGCATTCTACTAGCATTTCCTGCTGCTCTATTACATTATCTGCCTACCTTTAAGTCATCAGAAATAATCACCCCTAAATCCCTTTCCTCAGATGTTGAGGTTAGGACACTATCAAATATTCTGTACTCTGCCCTTGGGTTTTTACGTCCAAGATGCATTATCTTGCACTTATCCACATTAAATGTCAGTTGCCACAATTCTGACCATTTTTCTATTGTACCTAAATCATTTGCCATTTGGCTTATCCCTCCTGGAACATCAACCCTATTACATATCTTAGTATCATCAGCAAAAAGACATACCTTACCATCAAGACCTTCTGCAATATCACTAATAAAAATATTAAAGAGAATGGGTCCAAGTACAGATCCCTGAGGTACCCCACTGGTGACAAGTCCAAGCTTCGAATATATTCCATTAACTACAACCCTCTGTTGCCTGTCACTCAGCCACTGCCTTTCCCATTCAACAATATTGGAATCCAAACTCAATCAATCAATAGCAAGTAGCTAACTAATCAAATCAAATGCCTTATAATTACCAACAGGAATGCAAACCTTGTGCAATCAGTAACCTTTTCCTACAGATGAATCTTACCTGTAACAGTAGAAAAGAAAGCTCTTAGCACAACTCTTAGACAGTTAAAGCTTCTGTAAAACTCTCCAGAATATCTCCAACTACACACTTAGAAGCAACACTTAGCTATAGTCTTTACAATTTTATCAAAGGGGGAGTTTAAACAATAAATGAGACAATTACAAAAACTTGCAGGAACAATAGGTTGAAGAGGGCCCTGCTCAAACGAGCTTACATTCTATAGGAGGTGGGGTGTAAAACACAACAGGAAAGGAGGTATCAATCAAATAAGGTGGGAGCGAAGCAGAGATGGAGGAGAGAATAGAGTTCTGCCCGTGAGGTAGAGGTCACTCTGTGAGGCCGTAAGCTTTCCTAAAGAGATGGTTTTTAGGCACTTTTTAAAAGTTTGAAGACTAGGGGAGAGTCTGATGGCGGTAGGCAGGCTATTCCATAAAGAAGTCCTATAAGTGTGAGTTGGCCGTACGGGTGCAAGAAGCAGACAGGAGAAGGTCACGGGCAGAGCGGAGAGACCGAGAAGGGGCATTTCTGCGGATCTGTGGAGAGATATAGGAGGGGCTGGAATTGGTCAGTGCTTTCTAAGATGTTGCTGAACCGCCATTAATGGTTTCCTCTTTCCAATGTGAGCTCTGTGCATAAACTATAAGGGATATGTAGTTTATCAGTTATAGAATTTTCATCCGTGTTCACCAAGTTCATAGATACCATTTATATCCTTCGTTTTCCTGTATCTCATTACAAAGGTTAAATGGTCTAAAAACCATAGAAACACCTCGGACAGAGTGTGTCACTATTTAAGGAAGAAGTGTAATTGTGCAGTGTAACATTACAATGCTCAGTTTACTTGAACTCATAACTCAGAGCTCTACAATTTGCAGATAATATACTTTAAAGGGAGACTAAGGGTAAGGATTTGCTATAGCTGATTTAGAGGCTTCTCTTTCACAAGTATCATTGCAGTATCAATCTTGCCACTGCTCTGTTCTGCTCTCACTGCCAATCCAATGACTCTAGGTATATGTCAGGAAGGGTGTTGCAGTGAATGCAGAGCAATCGCCGCACTGCTCCAAGCAGCACCTCTCCATATAGATGCATTATCGCTAATCTCTATGAAGAGAACAATTTACACACTGCATTAGAAAACTGGATCTGAGGATGCCCTTAAAAACTGCAGGCCTCCGAGGAAGCGCACCTAGTGGTTGTCTGAGTGACAGCTGCTAGAGGTGTTCTTTCAGCTTCGTGCAATGACCACCTTTTCACAGAAAAAGTGGTGTTTACAAAACAAGATAGCGCTAGGACAGGTTCTTTGCAACAAAATCACCACACTCAGATATAGTGGTGCTTAGAATCTGCCTTTACTATTTGTTTTTAAACACTATGAACAACATACATTATACAAGTATAAAATATTTAAAGGGACACTATAGTCACCAGTGATATTATGCCTCCATCAACTCTGAAGTCCCAACTGGAGGTGTTCCTAGCTTTCAATGGAAACACTGTATTTTCTCAGAAAATACAGTGTTTACATGAGAAAGGCTGCAGGGAGCTATAGTTCTCACCTGAACAACCTCATTAAACTGAAGTTGTTCAGGTGACTATAGTGTGCCTTTAACAACATATTAAAGGGACCCTGCTTGAAAGGTAATATTTATAATGTTACAATGTTATAGTGAATGCCCGCCTTTCCAAAATAAATATATCTTTAACTAAAACTACGGAAATGCAATTTAAGGAAAAAACTAAAACAAAAACATTAACCCTTTGAAATATTCACTAACAACTAAACTAAGGCACTTTTTAAATTTGATTTTATTTTAAACACCATTGGCTCTGAAACAGTTAATGAACAATTTAATGGTTGTTCATCCCAGACTTTTTAAATCAGTGAGCACATGTTGGGGGAACTTTGAAGCTTAAAAGCTCTCCTCTCATATTTACATGCATTGTACTGGTCCTCTGACTCATACAATGACCTTTTCTCTTCATCATTTTTCTAACAAAGTCCCATCAATCTGCCTGTTTACACAGCAATGCCTTAGTAGAAAGAACCCAGGGACGCCCTTGAACAGGCAAAGTGAAAATTACAGAATTGTAAAAATATCTTTAGTTAAATTTTTACTTAAAAAAGACAAACACAGAAATGGTAAAAAAAAAATAAAAATAAAAAAAAAAGTACACAACATATTATGAGGATGTGCTGATTGTACAACAATCCCCACATAAAACAAAAGTACAGGATTTATAAGCAAATATCACCAATAGCTGGAGTTTTTATCAACAGATATTTGCACTGCCGTATAAAACAAAAACAAAATAAATGGTAAGCTGTAAATCCCCAAGAGAACATACATAATAATTCAAGGCAAAACATAATCTATATGTACGTGTAATTTAGTCAGAGGCTGAACTGCTAGGAAACATGGCCAATCACTGAGCTGTATCACGTTGCTAAGTAACAAAGAGATGCACAAACTTAGATACATGGACCAGAATGAGAGGCTCCTGATTGGCAGACCATCTTCCTGGTTTGGGATGGTCTGGTATAAGCTGTATTTGTATGCTCACATCTACTGCATGGACACCTTGGGGAAACCACAGCAAACGTCAAGATAAAAGATTATTTTAACCCCACAGTGACCAGACTGTTTTTCAATTTTCTTACCGTTAAGGACCAGGGCTGTTTCTACATTCCTGCGGTGTTTGTGTTTAGCTGTAATTTTCCTCTTACTCATTTACTGTACCCACACATACTATATACCGTTTTTCTCGCCACCAAATGGTCCTTCTAAAGAACCCACACACCTTTTCTAACTTTGACCCCCAAAATCTGTTACGCATCTACTACCGCCAAAAAACACTGGTGCTAAATAGTTACTAAATTTTGTCCTGAGTTTAGAAATACCCAATGCTAACATGTTCTTAGCTATATTTGCAAGTTATAGGGCTATAAGTACAAGTAGGACATTGCTGTTTCAAAATATATATTTTAACATTTATCAATAGTTACATTGTAACACTGTTATCTGTCATAAATCTCTGAATCACACGCCACATGTACATTTTTTTTAAAGTAGACAACCCAGGATATTCATGAGATTAAAAGGAATACATGTTTAAAATGGAATGAGGCAAAAATGTGATTCTTTGTTAAACTTATTTGCATATGCCCACCCAGAATCCTTTGCGGTTGTAACATCACTGCAGATTTGTGATTTCTGTGGGAAAAGCAAGTCTTATGGCTTGACTGGTGTGCAGATTTTTGTTTAACATTGTATTTTTATCCACAGACTTCAGGTGGAAGGGGTTTTCATTCACAATTTTTCCCTACCATAACCTATTTGGATTTTGCACACATACAAATACAAGTGGTCCTCGTTTTACAACCTACCTGCTTTACGACGGCTCACACTTACGACCAGCTCTCTTGCGGGGTGGTAAGTGCGAGCCATCATTGGAATTTGAGGGATTCCCTGCTCTGCTGCATTCTTCTATGTTCGGGGATATTTCCCCAAACATAGACGAATGCAACAGAGCAGGGAATCACTCCAATCTATTTTTGGGGAAATTTCCCCGAGCATAGATTAGAGAGATTCCATGCTCTTGTGTGTTTGACTATGTTCGGGGAAATGTCCCTGAACACAGACGTACACCAGAGCGGGAATCCTTTAATCTATGTTCGGATAAATTTCCCCGAACATAGATTAGAGGGATTCCCCACTCTGTTGCATTATCTATGTTCAGGGACATTTTCCCCGAACATAGAAGAACGCAGCAGAGCAGGGAATCGCTTAACTCCTCACTTACCGACCGGGTCGTAGGAACGGAACCTGGTCGGTAAGTGCGGAGTGTCTGTATATATAACTATAAATAAAATGTGTTTAAAAAAAATAAAAATAAATTATATATATATATATATATATATATATATAATATATAGATAATACGTATGTATGTATATATATATATGTATATATATATACACACACACACACACACTTATTTTCTATATATGTATATTATAAAATAATTAAAGCATTTTATAATATATTATACATATATAATGCATATATATGATGACATAAGTGTATTTTGAGATATATGTGAATATATCTCAAAGTACACTTGTAATGAAATCATAAATATGCATTATATATGTATTATATTATAAAATGCTTTAATTATTTTATAATATATTAAATGTATAACATTGATATCATTATTTGATTTAATTTTTATTTATTTTTTTACAGTTTAGCTGCATGGGGGACTGCCTGACAGATCATGGCAGGCAGCTCCATCGACTCCTATTGCGGCCATGTGATCATGGTGATCAAATGGCCCTGGAGGGCCAGAGCTGCTGTAGGGGCACTGCTGGGGTCTCTGGCAGTACCCCCCAACCGGGATTGCTGGTCCAGGTAAGTGTAGGGGTCATTTTTGCAGCAGACGTCCTTAACGACCGTTTTTTTGTCGGATGTATCTAGAACGTCCGCGGTCGTTAAGGGGTTAATCCATACAATGCATAGATTACATTTTTTATGCATTGCTGAAGTTGGTCCAGTCATCCATTGATTTTGTTGAGAATAAGTCCACCTTAAATTGATCAACCTGGCAGAATTTAGGACAAAGATCACCAAGTTGTCCACAAATGCAACAATTTCCATTCTGAACTTATAGATCATTATCATTACATGTAAAATGTTTGGTAGAACTAATAGTAACTATAGAGTCTGCCTGTGTGCAAAAATATAACAAAACTATTAAGGGAATATGCACAAGCATAAGGGTGCAGCAGGGTCAACATGACCCCCTTACCAAATAAATACTGTAAGTAAAACTCATACTTTTTTTTCTTTTCTAGCAACAGCTGCCCCATCTTTACAGGCTGAGAGCATTAATAGTGATGATGTAAGCCAATCCAATGCTTTCCCTTTACTGCGGCACTGGGGGATAGTGCAGCCGCTCTGCTGCACCAATCAGCATCTCCTCATTGAGATGCACCAATTTAATGCATCTCTATAGGGGTTCTAGAGATGCTGAACATCAGTCCTTGGACCCTCTAGTGGCTGTTTGAGATCATCCCACTGAAATAGCTGCATTTTATATGGCTATTTCGACAGAAGTGCCTATTGTGCAGAGGTATCCAAAAGGCAGATCCCCAGATGTTTTAAAACTACAACTTTCATGATACTTTGTCATTCAAAAGGCATGCAAAACATCATGGGAGTTGTAGTTCTACAACATCTGGGGATCTACCAATTGGGCCTCACCTGTTCTAGTGGCTGTTGGATTGACAGCCATTATAGGCATTTATACCCTGCAATGTTCCTGCAGATTGGCAACGTTTTACAATGCACGGTTTAAAAGTCTGGGCCATGGCACCCAGACCACTTTATTGAGATTAAGTGGTCTGAGTGCTTATAGTGTCCTTTAAGCAAATAAGCAAACACTGCTCAGCCTGCTGGGACAATTAATTTGCCTAAAAACCACTACTGAAAGCTGTAGTAATTCTGGTGCCTTAAGTGCCCCTTGATGCAACATAATTATTTACTTTTTTGTGTAAAAATGTGTTTAAATTAAGACTGTTCAAAATAAACTTTATTTATTATACCACAAGTACTAATGTTCTGTAAATGCTACAATGTGCATAAGTGCTTATACCTACACTTGATCTTCAACGCCATTCTCCAAACATGTTCTAATGCTTAATCTTGAGTTCTTTATGTAACCATAGTAACCTTTATAGGAATGATTTGTTTGAGGTGACTTTCTGATCCCTTTTCTGTAAGGGGTATCTCACAGCTAATTAGTTTTTCTATCAATTCTTTTCTAAATTTTTATTTTTGAGTATTCAGTATGCACGTATTATGTCATCAAGTCAATTGTACATTCATACAGGTAGAGCCACAGAATCAGAACAGAGTGTAACAAGGAGTAGTTTTCGAGACAGTATGATAGAAATGCATTGCAGTACTTTGCAAATACCGGTAAGTTCGGAAACCATCAATTTTAGACAGAAGCAGGGTTCTACAAATGGAAGGGGGTATATGACATTAATGGGACACTCCATCTTTATGAAATAAATAACTCTGGCTTAAACAAATGTATTTTTTTGCATGGTTAGTTTTGTATCCCCCACCCTAGCCCACCTCTCCAGTCTAAAATATCTGTTTCTTGCTGGTTCCTGCGTGTGTAGCTCCTTGTCCATCCATTCTAACTTGCAGCATTCAATAACACGTATTTAGGAAGCACAGCAAAGATTTCTATCAGTTGCACTTCAGCTAATAGCCGATAATTACACTACAAATCCCAGAAACACTTACTCCCCCCCCCCCTCCCCCAGCAACCAGCTTCAGAAACTTCAGTTGCAGGAAGCGCAGAGTGCTGCCAGCCAGGGGCATCGGTGATTGGCTGAGAGTGATCAGCGATGCTCTCAGCCAATCAGTGATTCCCCATTCAGTAAACTGGCTTGCAAAGAAACTTACCTTTTGCAAGCCAGTTTAGTGAAGGAGCGGCAGCAGGAATCCGTGGTGCTTCGTTTCACAGAGGTGGTATCTTTAGCGAAAATGGACGCCGACCACATAACCTCTTTCCATTTATAATAGATATATTTTTTTTTAACCCTCGTTTTACATCATTGCCTATTTATACAAAACATGCATTCACTCAGGTTTCTTAACATATATGTGTATAGGAAATTCTAAGTTTGTTTTAAAGGTATTTTGGTCACTTCCGTTCTGTGAGTTGCCATTTTACTTTTTTTTTTATATCTTATTTTAATACTTTTTTACCTGGCTTCTGAGTTTTTATCCTGTTCCAGTGAGACATTACTCCAAAGAATCCTAGGTGGGGATTATACCACTCAAACCCTATACATTGAGCAGTCCGCCTGCTCATGTAAATGTGAGTAACCACTTTATATTTTATCTCCGTACTCCTGATTTTTAAATAGAGCGCACTATTGCTGTTCCTTTTATATTTCATGTGACCCTCCTTCAGACAAGACACCAACTCATGTATCCAATAAGTGGGGATTATACCACTGTACGCACTTCAAAGAAGAGCTGGTTCCTTAGCTCTTTAAAACGTGAGTAGGATCATATCATACTTTTTACCAGCTGCTACCTGCTTGTTGAATATATTGCACCATTAGTTGTTTCTTTTATCTCCACATAAGGACTTTAAGAACACCCCTACCTCATTAAACAGCTTCCCATAAATAGAATTATCGTTGGCTTTACGTCTAATTTTCAAAAGACTCTCCTGAACTCTGTCTTTGGAACTCTCTATTTTTATTTAATTTTTTACTTTTTATATTTCTATCTACTATATAAGTGTTTTATCTGTTTATAGTACTTATTTATTGGCGCCGCCTAACCCCCACCCTTTCTCGGCTTGTAAGGGAACCTTACTGCTCAGGTGTGCTGCCTTGTTATCTGCTGTTTTTCCTGTAATATTTTAGAGTGCTGACCCCTTACTACTACTTTTTTTTATCATGTAACTATAGCATCATTTATATACAAGTGGATGTATTTTTGGAGACCTGTGTGTTCAAACCCTGTTCATTAAGAGGTTTTAATAGCAACGCAGGATCCGTTGCCTGACCGGCATCGGTCCACAAGAATTTATTGCCAGTCCGCGAAAGCTTTCACCCGACTATACTGTTGGATGAAAGCTTTCGTGGACCGGCAATAAATTACCCTGAAATATTTCCTCGGTGCTATGATCTTTGCTGGTTGTTATAATCATCACAATCTCCAGATCTCTTTTCTTGTGATCATAGCACCGGGAACCGTGCCTCCCTCTCTAACCTACTGCTCCACCGGGTTCTCCACTCGCGAGCTCGGAGCATTTCCGCTGTTACCATGGCAACGCTCAAAATCTCACGAGAGTGAACTCTAGCAGCTCCTGAGGCTGCTAGAGTTCACTCTCACCACCTGGACCACCAGGGCTGCAGGAATTGTCCCCCTTCCTGGGCAAAGCTAAGCAGGGAGGAGATATATCAAAATTATTTATTTAATTAAAACAATATATACATTTATTAATCTACCCTCCAGCCCCACAATAATTCTCCCATACACGCACCATTGGTTTTTACTTCTGGCTGACGCCTGTCAGCAAAACATTTATCCTCTTTTCGCCAGGCCTCGGGTGCTAAAAGGTTGCTGAACACTGATTTAATAGACATACAAATGAACATACTTACGGAAAAGCTAAGTAACTTAGGAGAACCTAGTATCCCATTTAAAACTGGATATATCATGCAGAGAGGACATGGGAACATAGATTAATTTACAGAAGGGAGTGTGATAAAGTTACGTCTAAATGGAATACAAACCATAAAAGGTTGAAAGGATGGCAGCTGTTCATATCTGCTCCACTCAGGAGAGGTGATATGCTTGCTCTGTACAAATACTTTAAAGGTCAAAATATTAATTTGTGAGAACTACAGTGGCACACTGAGCATGTTATTTCACAATATGTCATGTTAGGCTTGGTTACATGCACTATAAGAGTCTCCAATCCAAAATTCACAAAATGACCTTTACTTATGAGCCAATAAAAATAAAATGAAATTATGGGCATCAAAAAAACAAGAAAACAACCATGCTTACTTTCCTTTAATGATTAAGATGCATATTCAGTAAGCACTTCTAAATGTTTAGAACTGCACATTAAATGGAATGCCTGGCCTAGACCAATTCTACGTATTCTAGAATGGTAAAACTGTTTTATGACAACCAAACCCAGTCACGTAAGTAATACAATATTATATTTATAAATTGCAAGGGAAAAAACAAAAACAAATAAATTAATAGACGTTGGTTATGTGTGATTGGTCCCACAACGAGCCTTTTATTGCGGTGTGCCCAACTTGTCTTGTTGCAATTATGTGTTTGTCTACCTAGTGTTTGTCTACCTATTGTACAACTCTGTGGCATATGTACTACATAAATAATAATCATCACAATCTCCAGACAAGTCCAAAGAACATTTTATATGGAAACACTGGTCAAACACGGAAGTTCAGATTAAATCAGTGTTTGTATTTAAAAATGTTTTTGCCAGGGTCCCAGATTATACGAAAGGCGACCCATTCTTTAATCGGAAAATAAGCTCACTGAATCAGTGTCCATGTATAAAATAACTGACATTAATATAAATGTTGCAAAATACCTCAAAGCAGTGCTATCACTCGAGGGGGGGGGGGAAGGGGGGGAGTTGTTAAAGGGAGACTCCACTGCCTAAATACAAAAATAATAATAAAAAAAATCAATGTTTAGTAAATACACACACATTCCTCACACATAAAGCATCTCAGGAAGCTAAAGTACTCTAGGGATTCAGAGTGTCCCTTTAAGCAGTTCTAGATTTGATGCGGTCATCTTTTGGAACAATGGGTACTGGGAAATAAATGACAGAAGGCAGCAGTAGAAGCCCTGCCCATTAACACATTTTGTAAACAAATCCTAAAGGTGACAACATACTTAATTAGTTGATATGATGTATATCTTAATATTGTGTTTAAAGTAAGGAATTTCAAAGATATTCCAACACAGTGAATTTGATTTAAATCAATAGTCAGTAAGACTTGGTTTAAATCACAATTGTTAAATGTAAAGACTCATTTTTGCTGGTTGTTATAATCTTTACTATTTGCAAACAGATGTATATTTAATATTTATAACATTGTTAGATTAGTTTAACAGTTGGATTAGCACTGACTTTGTTGTATACCATTAGAAATACATAGATAATCTCCAGCTTAATGGGTTAATCACTGGTATGGAGAAAAACGTAAATGAAAAGGTTTTCATTGTGTGTACATACACTTGCAGAATAACAATCGGACTTATACATTTTTCTGAACTTTGCATGCTTATTTTATATATATATATATATTTTTTTGCTGTGAAAAAATGCATGCTATCCCTAGACACAAGTTCAAGTTGACTTGGATTAATGGAATTCATTTACTAAACATGTAAATATTACATGAACATATAGCCTCATGCTTGGTAACTAATCCATATTTAATGCTGAATAACCTTTGGACTATAATGTACTCAAAGCACCAAAACACCTGGTTCCAGGATGCCCCTGGAGGCACTCTTACCCCTAGGGGTTAGCTTAAAGAGACACTCCACTCACCAAAACAACTTCTTGTAAATTAAGTTGTTACGGTTCCAGGATGCCCCTGGAGGCACTCTTACCTCAAAGGGTTAAACTGTCTGAGAAAGATGTCCAATCCCCATGGGTGGCATCCGCCTTCTGGATTTTCAGATCAGGCGAGTGCCACCGGGCAGGGCATCGCTGATTGGCTGAGAGCCGAGATAGACTTCACCCTATCAATTGGGTCCATTCTGGGGAAAGCAAGCCTACATCAGTAAACAACTATGGCAGGTGCCTGGCCCTGATGTACCGTTTCCTGTTCATATGACATATTTGGGTACTGACACAGCGTTAAAAAAAACCATTAAATTAATGGAACACTATAAGTACCGAGACCAATTCATCTTAATGAAGTGTTCTGAGACCACGTCTCCCCTCTCTTTTAACCCTGCAGTTGTAAACATTGCCATTCTGCAGGAACGGCAATACTTTTGTTGCAGGGTTTACTTGCGTCAACACGACCGATACTATAGGTGCTTCTGTAAGATATCACAGTAAAATTCTAATATTTTAGTCAGACGGTTTCTGATTGGCTCAGTGTGACATTCTGCCATACATGCGCCATGTAAAAGCTTTGGATTGGCTGAGAATAGCAAAACTGATGAGCTCCGCCAAAGAGGCGGAGCCACACGGAGGAGACTGGCGCTGCGAGGGCTGAAAGGTAAATAAATCACCATTTTTACACAGGCAGCACAGGCCTAGTCAGCTAATAGAAAACTAGGGTACTATAGCGTTAGGAATACATATTTGTATTCCTAACACTATAATGTTACATTAAATGTATAAAACAAATATTTTGACTGCTCAAGAAAAAAAAAATCAACTCATTATTTTACAGCAAAGGGTGCCAAGTAATACCCACAACATACCAGTTTTATAAATAAATGTATGTATTTATAACTCTGCCATGTTTCTTGAAAACCAAACATCAGTAAAGTTAAATTTCCTGAAAACGGGGACAGCATGATAAACAATTTGCCAATGTACAATAATACTAATAAAAGAGGTTTCATAACAACCGGTTTGAATAAAATAAATAAATAAATAAAAACCACACACATGAAAATTAAAGTACATGTATTAGAATCATTTAACGCCAAGATAAGAGTAGGAAGTGCAATAGTTTTTTGTTATCTTTTCTTTAAATGTAATTAGACAAAAGCCCAAAGGCAAACGTGTAACTAGAAGAAAAGATATATAAAGAAATTAATTCACGTTAGTTTGAATTGAGAGTTTGCGTGAGTCATTTTTAACTCCCTGCAGGTAGTTTGTATCCATGGAAAAGAAGCTACCCACGCGTCTCAAACTGTGGATGTCTGCACTGGGAGAAGTTGTTTCTCAGGTAGACAGAAATGTCTTGTATTAAAGAGAAAACAACTAAAAAACCCTTTGGTACAATCTTTGAGAAGAGTGATAAACACAGGTTTAAAAAAACAAAACCTTTTCACTGTAATATTTTCTGTACAATTCTGGATTCTGAAGCCTTCCGAGTGGTCATTTCTCTTAAGTGACACATCGCAAACACTATTTTAAGCAGAAGTGTCACTTCTTCGGGAACGACACCATTAAATAAGACAGAGAAAATCATAACTTGTGTTAAAGTGTTTTATTCTTGAGATGATCCATTTCTGCAGTATATCCCTACCCCATTAAAAAGACACGTTAGGCACTATAACCATTTCATCTCATTGAACTGTATACAGTGCTTGGAGTCCCATGGTGCTGTCCCTCCATTCATTGTTAAACCATTTGCAAGAAGTTTAAAGAACCACTACACACTCATATGGTGAGGAACATCCTATTTTATTTCCAGCTTCTCAAAGTACTTATTTTCTATAATGCGTACATGTATTAATTGGGGGTGTATCTACTACACATTAATTCTATTTTTTTCCACAAATTTCAGAGTGGAGCGGTCACTGAGTGACGCTCCTTAATCCCCACTGGAGGTATGGTTAAAAGGACACTACAGTCATCAGAAACACTACACTGTAATGTAGTGGTTCTGGGCGGTATAGCCTGTCCCTGCAGGCTTTTTAATGTAAACACTGCCTAGTAACATCTCTAGTGTCACTCAGATGGCTACTAGAGGTGCTTCCTAGTCCAGTGATAGACAGTGTGCAGCACTGACATTCAGCGTCTCCGTGCTCTCAAAGGAGACGCTGAACATTCCCCATTGAGATGCATTGATTCACTGCACCTCTACGGGGAGATGCTGACTGGCCAGCTCGGTGTTGTCATGCATGCGCAATAGCCTCCCATAGGAAAGCACTGGCTTTGCAGAGATCATGGAACATTGATTGAAGAAAAAGCAAAATCTATCAAAAGTACTTAAGTTATGTTAGTAGCCGCAGAATTTACACATAATGCAAATGAGACCAGAAGAACGGTTTGTTTCACACCTACTCACGAACTATGTTCTATGGGTACTTATACCTACAACTGACAGTGAACCACAATTGAGGCACTCAATAACTATTTTGAATTTTATTCTTTCAGACCTAACAAAAATATATTTGCTGTGTATGGAGGACAAACAATAGTAAAAATACTGGAAAGCGACAGTACTGCTTTAAGAAAATTATGTGTAAGAGCAACAGCCTGAGCACACAATGTCAATTAAAAAATATTTTTAGTTAGCAGCTGGGTTGTGCATAAACCAACATATGTCGTTCAAGTCATCCACATTTTTTTTTTTTTTTTTTTTAACTCTTCAAATCAAATATTCACTCAATTGTGGAGTATTAAAGAAATCTTAGGCCTTAATTTTAAATTTTTGGATAAAACTTTTATAGTGATTTTTTCCCCCTTCAAAATATTAAACTATATACTGGGGGCCCGGAGCTAACCAGCGATCAGACTAGACGCATGTCACCTCAGCTCCTGCTGAACATTGCTTTAAAGCAGATTTGCCACATACCTGGGCCTTGGAAACAGCTTACTGGGCACCAGTACACCATAGGAAAGCATTTCCAAAAATCCAGAGAGCTTATCGAGAGCCAAACTCGAGATATTGGCATGCTCTTATGACAGCGATGTCAAGATGGCGGAGTTACGGCCCAACTCACCACAAGACACTCTCTCGGCTTCGGATGACGAGGACCTCGAACTGTCGGAAGTAGGGCACAACCACGACCCGAACCTCCACTAGCTTCCAAAATAGATCTTACCTCAATGGTGACAGACCTCAAAGCCTTCTTCCTCGCAGAGATGGCGGTGCTGAGGGAAGACTTGGGCACGCTGACAGGACGTATAAGGCTCACAGAGAAACAAGATTCGACAGCAGCGCAACTTCTGGAAGTCACCAACACGTGTGCGCAGCTTAGTGCCAAAATCAGCAAAAATATGTAATTTTATACTTCAAATCAAGGTCTGATGAAGAAATACTCCTGAAGGCAGTCAAGGGCTCAACGCCATATATTTTTGAGGAACACTAAGTTTTTTTCAAAACCTCAGCCGCCCAGCGCTGCAGTGGCGCACATCACTGAATGGGGGGAACCTCACAGCTACAGTCAGCCGCCATCACTTACAACTGGGGATACCTGAGAGCCCTCATAGCTGAAAAAGATGGCCTATGCTATCGACTGACATCTACATCTAAAGCGGACATATTCCAGCAGTCACTGGAACTCTCTGCTCCTGCGACACATCAGTGGGATGTGGCTAATGTGACTCCAGCAGGCTCATCGCCCTGGGTTGAAGCTACCTAGAAGGGCGCTTAATTCACCATCACTACTTTATTTAATTTTTGTTGTTTCTCTTCTTATATGTTTGTACCATTATGAAAATTAAGATTTAGACCAAGCTAGGTATGTGGTTTTACCGCTATCGGATACCATGACCTACTGGTCCCGCTGCCCTCCTCACCCCTTTACATAACTGCTCTTTGATTCCCTCCTCCCCCCTTAATCTCCAGGAACATGGAGCTTCTTAATCTTTCATAAGCAACTCAAAATATCCTACAAATATTGCGACCTACACATGGGTGCTTGAGAACCCATTATCCACTCCCTTAGGTTGTCTTATCTTACTCACTGGCCTTAAGCTCCACACTAAAATAGCATAAGCTATGGCAGTCTACTTACCAGGCACGCAAGGTTTTGGCTTCAGACTCGTTTGCAACCTGACACATATAGCCATAGAAACACTCTTAAAGGCCATGAACCAGATACTGTCCGAATCTGCCCTGGTATAACTAACAGAAACCAGGTCTACCCATGTGTGGGTTCTCACAACTATATGTTACCTCCGTTTATAAAAACAATGTGCCTCTATTTCTTTGCCATGCTCATGTTTGACTATATTTGACACTATTGTGTTTGCTTCGCTGTTGTGGCATCACAAGCCTATTTGTTATTCTGTGCACGTCAAAAATAAAGAATTACAAAAAAGCTATAATAAAAAATATTAAACTATTAAACTATCAAAAAAACACAAATATATAAAAAAAAGAATATCAAAATGTTAACATATGTTTTATTATATGAAATCATTCCAAAAACATATTGAAAAATATTAAATCAGAGCCTTAGTTGGTGGATGCGCCAAATATGGACAGTGTTCTATTTATGGCAACCATTCACAGTTTACCGATTTGATATTATATAAAAAAAAACAAAAACAAAAAAAAAAGTGTAGAACAATAGTAAAACCTAGAGAGTACAGTTTGGCAATTACAAAATGTAACATCTTATGTGTCATGTACATATAAGACAGTTTAAGACAGTTTAAATAGGTGAACAGCTGCTGCATCTTAGATGAACATTTTAGATTCCTGGAAAGGTCAGTACAGATTTTCGTACTTCTGCGGATGATAATATAAGCAGCATTAAAGGACCACTATAGGCACCCAGACCACTTCAGCTTAATGAAGTGTTCTGGGTGCCAGGTCCAGCTAGGTTTAACCCTTTTTTTAATAAACATGGCAGTTTCAGAGAAACTGCTATGTTTACCTATGGTTTAATCCAGCCTCTAGTGGCTGTCTCATTGACAGCTGCTAGAGGCGCTTCCGCGCTTCTCACTGTTAAAAAACGCAAGCGTCCGTAGGAAAGCATTGAGAATGCTTTCCTATGGACTGGCTGAATGCTCGCGTGGATGTTGCCGCGCATTCAGCCGGTGACGGAAGAAGAGGGAGGAGAGGAGGAGGAGAGCTCCACGCCCGGTGCTGGAGAAAGAGGTAAGTTTAACCCATTCCTCCCCCCAGAGCCTGGCAGGAGTGGGACCCTGAGGGAGGGGGCACCCGCAGGGCACTATAGTGCCAGGAAAACGAGTATGTTTTCCTGGCACTATAGTGGTCCTTTAAGTAGGGTAATAACAGCCATATGCCCGATGGTACTTGGAAGTTAGTAACATTCTAGAAGTACCCTTTCTAATGAAATAAATTCCCCCTTCCAGCTCTGACATATAGTGGATTTCAGACTTCTACCATTCCTTACTGTAATAGCAGTTGGTCTAATCATAGCAATATATCAGGACTAAAAGTTATTTAACATTGCAAATATCCTTCAACTATATGACATCTTCGAGTAAACAGGGCAAAACACTGCCCAAAAGACATGAAGATCATCTGAGTATTTCAAGCCTGTGGGAGTGAGCTAAGAACGTGTTTTGCTGCATATTTATAGTCGCTACTAAACTAGACGGTTCGTCCAAATAAAATTCACGGTGATTGTTGAACGAAACGATTTTGAATCGTTTTACCTGTACAAGTAAGATCAATTTGGAATTCATTCATATCGATTATCAGGAATTTTTTTCAAACAAATAACGAGTCTAGTCTTTACCACAAAGGCGATGATTTAGCAACAAAGATTAAGGAAGTCAGAGTTGACATTTTGAACCCTCCATACCATTGCAAAGCAAAGTAGCAGCTTATTGTCACACATGAGGTAAGTATTTTAACTCACTCAAAATAAATAATAAACATAAAATTATAAAGAATTGAGAAGAATCATGCTTTTCCCCCAAATTTACCACAGATTTTATTTTAACATTCATTTGTGCCTAGATTTCTCACACATGCTGTTCTCATAAGAACTTTTAAATTTGCTGCGATCCACACATCGTAACATGGATATTTTAAAGAGACTGTCAAATCCCCCCACAGCACCAATCAATAAATATATTTCCGCGCTCATCACTCTGTTGAAACAGGTGACCAAAGTATCCAACGATTTAACCCCTTAAGGACCAAACTTCTGGAATAAAAGGGAATCATGACATGTCAAATGTCCTTAAGGGGTTAATCGCTGTTAAATCTTGCGGGCATTACTCTATCCTTATTCTCCTTGATCTTTCTGCTGCCTTTGACACTGTTGATCATCAACAATTTCTTCTCATTCTCTGTAATCTCGGTCTACGAGATACTGCTCTCTCCTGGTACTCCTCCTGCCACTCCCAGCGCTTTTTCAGTGTTTCTTTCTCTGGCTCTACCTCTTCTCCCCAACCCCTCTCTGTTGGCGTTCCCCAAGGTTCTGTCCTTGGTCCCCTGTTCTCTATCTATACTGCCTCCCTTGGTAAACTCATCAGCTCCTTTGGCTTCCATTATCATTTATATGCAGATGACAAACAAATCTACCTGTCCTATCCTCATCTCTCTCCGCCCATCTTGACTCATGTCTCTGACTGCCTCTCCACGATTTCCAATTGGATGGCTGCTCACTTCCTAAAACTCAACCTGTCCAAAACAGAACTTCTGGTCTTTCCTCCCTCAAGTGTTGCTACTCCAGTGTCTGTCTCCCCCCAAGTCAACAGCGCCACCATCACCTGCCTAGGTGTTCTCTTTAACTCCGACCTCTCCTTAACCCCTCATGTCCAGTTTATCACCAAATCCTGCTGCTTCCATCTCAAAAACATAGCTCGCATTCGCCCCTATTTAACACCAGACGCGGCTACGGTGCTGGTCCATGCCACTGTCCTCTCTCGCCTTGACTACTGCAATCCCCTTCTCGGTGGTCTTACGTGTTCCCAGATTGCACCACTGCAATCTATAATGAAGACGGTGGCAAGGCTCATTTTCCTGTCCGCCCGCACTTCCCACGCCTCCCCCCTCTGTCAGTCCCTACCTTAGCTTCCAGTTAGATTCAATTTAAGATTCTGGTGCTTGTTTACAAGTCCCTACATGACGCTGCTCCAACCTACCCATCCTCCCTAATACACAAACACGTCCCATCGAGGCCCCTGCGCTCTGCCGAAGACCTACGTCTATCTTCTGTCCGTACTCCCACATCTGATGCTCGCCTCCAAGACTTCTCCAGGGCTGCACCTTTTCTGTGGAACTCCCTTCCCTTCTCCGATAGACTTTCACCCAGTCTCTACTCCTTCAAAAAAATCTTTGAAAACACACTTCATCAGGAAATCATATCATTTAAACTGTTAGCTGGTTTTCATTCTCCCTCCCCCATGACTCCTCTCTTGCAACTGTCAAAAATGAACTTAGTTTTCAGTGAATACTTTTCTAGCAACCCATTTCGTTACCCCTACTTCTCAGTGAATACTTTTCTAGCAACCTATTTCATTACCCCTACTTATACCCTTTGTATCACTATACCCCACTCCCTCTAGCATGTAAGCTCATTGAGCAGGCCCCTCAAGCCCTCTGTTCGTGTAAGTCCTTTTGTCTGGTTACAATTACGTGTCTGTTAGTCCAACCATTGTACATCGCTAAGGATTTTTCTGGCGCTACATAAATAATAAAAAAATAATAATTTACAGCGTTGGAATTTCAATGCAGTCAAAAGATATAAGACTAAGTAGGAACTAATTTGACTTATGTATTTTTCCTCCGTTTGACAAAATCTAAAAAAAAAAAGGCTGACTCTCTACTGTCAAGTTTTGTTATTTCCCCAGTCGTCACTGGAGGCATTGTCTATGGGGACTCCGGGCGGTCTCCTCCATAGACATTAGTGTTGTGCTCTCATGCATGCGTGAGAGTACAGCACTGACATGGGGTCTTGGCAGGTGAAATGGCAGGAGCTGATGAAAGAAGATAGCAACATCCACAGGGACAACATTAGGGGAGTATATCTTACCTCCACAGTACCCGGTGGCCAGTGCACACAAAAAGGCACCCTGGGTCTTTGCAAAAAATGCAAAGATTCCAGGTGAGAAAGCTGCTTTAGGACATCTTACAATTTTAAAACGTGCAATAAAAAAAATTAAATAAAAAAATCTTGTTCCAAATCATGACTTTCAGTGACTAAAACTCATTGTGTATACTTAAAAAAAAAGATACATGAAACTCATGCTATAAATATAATCTCACAAAGAAAACACTAAAGCGTTGTTCTATTTTGTGCTTGCAAGCCTATGTATTTTAAAAACAATAGGAGTCATCTGCATAGCTCTCTAATAAATTAGTTTCTTTAATTGAAATATTAATCTAAATAAGCTGATTACTACAGAAGTACTATTCCCCACAAATAGTTATTTTCATTTTATGCTTTTGATCTTAATAGGGATCACTCTTGAAACACACTTCTTGTTTCCGTTCTATTTGCAGCCCACATAGGCTTCTTTTCTCTAAAACTAATAAGCTCAGTGTGAAAAGAAGCGTGAAAGAGCTTATGAAAAAATATCATGTAGAAACTGACCTTTTAGCCTCCTTTTTTTATCCCAAAATCTATTGAACTGAGAAAAATATATAAAGAAATAAAAAGGGCAGAAAATGTTAAATTATAATTAACAACAAAGATATTTTCACAGAAAACACAGAAGAGCATTATCCAATACTAGTGCAAATACAGCTTTTGAAATTGCAGTTTTATAAACACACGCAGGAATTTTTTTATTAACCAACATGTTAAGAACGCTGGTATCCCGAATACCTGTTCTTCCAGACACTCCCGAATCGGCTAGGGACTTTGTGATTATAGCCTTGTTCGCCTGGAGTGCTGAGTCGACCGTTACCGAAATCCTAGTGAGCACACAGGACAAACACCGCAACACAGCAATCGCATACCCAAACATCAGTCTGAACTAGATGAAGGGTACAAAAGGAATGTTTTATTCGGGCCAAAGGGATGGCTTTTATGCAAGTCTTTATACATAACACACACCCACGGGAACTCCCACAACACGCCCACATGAAAAAGCTTGAGTTATCGTGACTCAGCAGAAATGATAGAAATATGAAAATATGAAACAATGCATAATAAACATGTTCAAACCCCCACATAATTTACATATCTGGATAGCTGGTATCAGAGCGACCAATCTGGTGGCGAATAAGTATCTAAATGGCGGCCACCTAACAGGGCACTTAAATATCTGGCTCCCATCCGAATTATTGGGCCAAAAGTATTTGGTATCAAAGTCCAGATATGGGGTTTTGTCATACTAAAATTATCTTAAATGCTCTTCTTTATGTGTGTATCTATGTAATTTACAAATAAAACAAAATGTCCTGTCTTGATTTATATAAAATGTTGGTTGTTTAATGTAATTTAAAGGAACACTATAGGGTTAGAAACACAAACATGTATTGCTAACCCTATAGTGTTCAAACCACCATTTAGGTGGTTTGCATGCCCGTAAAGGTAAGAAAACTTACCATATTTACTGCACAGTGCGGGTCCATCAGTGCTGGCCCCCACCCCGATCTGCCTTCTTGGCTATCAAAATTGATGATCTCAGCCAATCCAATACTTTCCATCAGGAAAAGCATTGGATTGGCTGACGTTGTCAAAGAGGCGGGTGGGGCCAAAAGCCAGCTTGACCAATCAGCATTTCCTCACTACTTTAAAGCTACCTGAAGATGAAAAGAGTGCATTTCCCTTGTAGAGTTCACATTATCACTGCTAATAGAACTTATGACACTATTACAGAAAGAGGGAGGCATATTTATTAGAAAGGAAGAACAGGTAGGAATACATAATTTATATCAATCCATTACTACATCCACAGCCGCCAGCACACAGAGTATCAAAATATGAAGTAGACCAGGCTGGGTTGCATGGTGTCCTGCTTGCTATACACAACAGTCCACACACTGCTGCTTGATTGAGAAGAACCAAGGATATTAGTCATCTCCCACCCCCTTCTGACACACACACACACACACACACACACACTCACCTGCATGAGGTGAGGAACGAGAACCGGTCGGTCCATGTGAACCTCTGTTTTTTTGTTTTCCATTTTTGATGATAAAATTTACTTTGGAAAATGTTGTGGAGTGAAATCCTATACTATTCTAAGCTATTTCAGAAGAATTTTTGTTTGGTTCACAGATGTTCCAAATCGGATCAATTTGAAGGTGTCAAATCAGATGATGATAAATTTAGGACACATCCTTTGAATCTAAATGATTAGTGAACAACAGAAAGCAATTTATTTGCAGAATAGTGCAGTAAACTGATAAGAAAACTGAAAAAGTTGAAGCAGACAAGCTGTGACATATAGTTTACATTTCAATCGGTACTCTTTAAATTTCAACATCAATTGTTTCAATGCTTTGGCAAAAAGGCACTTCTTGACAATCTCCTATAATCTGGGACTCTTGCACTGTTAATTCATTATTTTTTAATAGACTAATTTTAGGGAATCGTTAGGAGGGGAATCACTTGACACATTTCCTGAAAGAGATTTTATTCTGCAAACCAATATGTTCTAACAATTTGTTGCAATCAGTACTGGGCAAAACACAGATGTCAAGCAGTAATAGTTCTTAAAATTTTCTGTGAGGCAAGCGAAGTGACAGTCTCCTGGTGCTCGAAAACGGTTATAGACAGAAACAGGGCAAAGTGCCAATGTCATACTGGCAGCATAAATACTAGAACTGGCAGCAGTGGGCTTACAGTACTCCTTTTTTTAGAGTGTAAGCTTGTTTGGGCAGTGCCCTCTTTCCCTACTGAATTAGTTATTTGTCTTGGTCTTATGTAGGCACTATATAAATCATTGTAATTATAACCCCTTCACTGTGGAGTGTTTGGCTGGCAAGCACTCTTTCTAGAGCGATTTTATATAAAAAGGTCCAAAAAGAATGTAAATTAAATGAAGTCTAACTCTGGCTATTCCTATAAATGTCACGGCCCCTATAATAAGATACGAGACTTTCAATACATGGAACAGATAAAAATAGAACTACAACCTGATACCTCAAATATACAATACCGGAGTATTTTTCAAAGATTCCATGAAAAAGGGTAGTAAGGGGAGTAAAGGAACCTGACCATTTACAGATCACAGAGACCAAATGTAACCGACAGCAAGGTTCTAAAAGCCAGTTACTTAATTCATTTTCCTTTTGAGAATTAAAGAGGAATTGACCCTTTGCTGCAAATTTACAGCAGCGAACAAAAAACACTGAAAAATCACCTAACTTGATTTGATGCCATTCGAGATCAGTTCAGTTACAGCCAGATGATACAGAGCATGAAGAAACAAACATGGTTTCTGTAGCAAAGTTCCAGTCCTGACAAGGACTTTTCTCCGCCGAGTCCATGAAAATTGGAACTTGGTGCTGTGAAGTGAATAGCTCTATCCCTCCCCAGTAACTGGACAATACACAGTTCTGGAAGTACAACTTATTTTTATTGTGCCACACTCGGCTTTTTATGCACAGACACCAGCATGGGGTCTCTATACAAAATAACACAAACTCCTTTCAGGCGGCCCTAAGTCTGGGAGATAATGGAGTCAAAGACCGGTAACTCAATTATTTCTCAGTTACAGGGAACCATACATAAAATATACAAAACATCCCAAAAACTACATTCAAACTACACAGGAACCCCACAAGTCTTATATTCCCGAATAGATCCATTTGGTGAAATGGAATCGCCATTCGTGTAAAGTTCTGACCTGCCGGCCACGAGGTGGTAGCCCAGAACAGTTCCAGAGAAAAAGAGGCAGCGGCCTGTCAACTTTCGGGAGTTCCTGTGCGAGCACCAACTAATGCTCCCCCATGGCTCTTAGGGAGCAAATGCTCCCCGCGGAGCAGGTAGTGGTACAGTTTCCCCAGGGTTCGAGTATACGAATTGAGTTCCAGACACTTGATGACCATGATCCGCTGCCTGCGTTCGGGAGATAAAATGGCCGCCATTCACTAGAGCACATGCGTTCGACTATACGATGTTCGGGAGGTATAAAAAGGGCCAGTACGTCTTTGTTCGGGAAACAAGTCTGCTACAGTTTCCTTTCTCATTGTCTCTGCATGCTCTCTCTATGCGGATTACCAGGTGGAAAAAACTAAAAAGACAGAACTTTTAACAATGGCTGATAGAAGATTAAGATGTAGCAGTCCTGATGCAGGAAATATAGTTGCGTATCCCATTTCATTTTATTTTCTACACCTCAAAAAATCCTTTAATTAAAAATTTTCAGATAAGTAAACTTACTAAAAATCATGCGAAATAACAGTTCCTCTCTAAATATAGCTCAATATAAAATATGGTGTTCTAGAGATTTGCATCACATCACATCTTCACAAAGCTGATGGCTTCATGGACGAATTTTCTGCCCATACCCCTACACCTTTTAATTAGGCTCACTGAGGATCACGACCAGGTATTGTTTGCCACAGTACATTTGGGGAAATTAGGATCTACAACAGTGCTCAAAATTTCCACTGTCTACCAACGTATGGAGAGAAAACATTCACCCATCGTGAGCAGAAGTTCTCCTCTGGTTAGAGTGCCATGGACCCTTTAGCAGTGAGTAATTAAAACTGTTTGGTTTCGTAGAACATTTTGAGTCCTGATCTACAATATCTAGACTTTGGCTATTTCCTCAAAGCCAATTAGTTCAGTTTTTTGCCATTTTACTCAGCTACATTTTGCAAATGGCACGTTACAGACCACGGTTACACTTCCAGAAACAAAGTTCAATTTCATAGTTGAATGCTTCACATACAGACTCCAAATCACTTAGGTATTTATGGTGCATGGACATTGAAAGAATGGATTTTACCTTATAGAGAGAACTTCCTCCAATAATCCATACAAGATCAGTTTGGTCCTTCAGTTCTGGAGTCTCCAATAGCTCTAAAGCATCATCTAAACTTTTGGCGAGATAGTGAGCACCTTGTGGGGTAACTCTGCAAAAAAAATAAATTTTTTTTTTTTTTAAATGATATAATTTACTAAAGCTGCTATAAAACAGTTGTCTATAACACATCAGAGCTCTTCTGGCAGCACGAGGAGACCCACACATGTGTCATTTGGGATCTCTACTCATGTTGTAATCATCATATACAATAGTGTGTGGGGGAGGAGGGGGGCTAAACTAAATTTGATTGGACGGCTCTCTGTAGCAGATGCCAAGCCAAAGCGTCTGTTTTATTGAAGGCTGTTCTTTTTGGTATCAGTAAGTTAGCAACCAGACTGAACTGTGGTATCTGGAATTTCAGTTTTTGTACATATTTTTCTTAATTTGTGAGGTTTTTTGTTTTTTTTAAATATATTTTACATATTGAAATTGTAACACCCTGCACTGCAAGATTGTTTTCTGCATATTCTTACCTTCATATTCTGAAATTTATCCATGTTCGGAGATTCTTATGCGATTCACGTACATATAAATCGTATTTCTATATAAATGTATTTATTATAGTTCACTACACTAAACACTGATCATCCACAACATTAAAACCACCTGTCTTATATCGTGTGGGTTTCCTCATGCTGCCAGAAGAGCTCTGATGTGTCAAGGCATTAGGCTCCAGAAGACCTCTGAACATGTGGTATCTGACATTAGCAGCAGATCCTTTAAGTACTGTAAGTTGCGAAGTGGGGCCGACACGGATCAAAATTGTAGTTCCAGCACATCTCACAGATGCTCAATTCGGTTGAGATCTGGGGAATTTGGAGGCCAAGCCAACCCCGTGAACTCTTTGTCATGTTCTTCAAACCATTCCTGAACATTTTTTGTAGTGTGGCATAGTGCATTATTCTGCTAAAGAGGCCACAGCAGTCAAGGAACACCATTGCTATGAAGGAGTATACATGGTCTGCAACAATCTTAACATAGGTGATATGTGTCAAAGTAACACAACTACATGAATGCCAGGATCCAAGGTTTCCCATCAGAAAATTGCCCAGACTATAACACAGTCTCTGCCACATTTCCATGGTCCTGTTCTGACACTCACGTCCCTATTGAAGGCTCTTTCAGTGGTGGACAGGGGTCTTATGGGCACTCTGACCGGTCTGTGGCTACTCAGCCCCATACACAGCAAACTGCGATGCACAGTTTCTTTTGACACCTTTCTGTAAGGTTCAGAGTTTTTTAGCAATTGTAGCTACAGTAGTTCTTCTGTGTGATTGGAACAGACGGACGAGCCTTCGCTCCCCATGTGCATCAACAAGTCTTCGGTAGCATTTGTTTTCCATCCTTGCACCACTTTTGGAAGGTACTAACCACTGCATATTGGGAACACCCCACAAGACTTCCCATTTTGGAGATGCTCTGACCCAGTTGTCTAGCCATCACCAGGTCCCTTGTCAGAGTCACTCAGATCTTTTTTACATGCCCTTTTTTTTCCGGCTTTCAACACTAATATATCCAACCCCTTAATAGGTGCCGTTGAGAGTATACTGAGCATAATTTAAAGTGTTTGATCATAGTGGCACATATGAATTTACAAAATGTCCAGCAATAATGTACTGTGTAAACAAATGGCATCAGGTTAAGACACAATATACACCATATAAGATACTCTTAAGTGTCTACTTTCACAAATGGAAAACCTTTGTGGGGTTAACCATTATTTGAACAGTCAAACTGCTGTGATGAACAAATGAGACATAGGCCCATCAAATCCATCTATCAAAACAGACAGAACATTATTATATGTTTTAGTTCAATTTAAATACAAAGAAACAAGTCCTGCGCTCAAACTTCCATTACTCCTGGGCGGCAGCAACGACCATAGTACACATCAGCCAAAATACATATACACCCTGTTCCAAATTATGCTAATGATATTTTTCTCATTTACCTAAATAATTGATGTAAATAACAGTCAGCATAATTCTCATGTTATCAATTATTAAGAGTACCATTTAAATTTTATAGAACAAACCTCCTAATGATAACAGTATTTTTTTTAAACATAAAAACTTACAGTACACTATTACGCAGAGTAAGTTTCAAAACACTTTATAGGTTGTAAAGAACTGAAAATTGTCATTTGTTGTGTTTGCAGCATATTTACTGAAATCAAAAGCTATTTCAATCAAATTAATAACATTTAAACTTTTTAAACATTTTAACAGGTCACGTTACATTTTAACATAGGACCCCTTATTTGATAGCAGCTTCACAAGTCTTGCATCCATTGAACTTGTGAGTTTTTGGACAGTTTCTGCTTGAATTTGTTTGCAAGATGTCAGAATAGCCTCCCAGAGCTGCTGTTTGGATGTAAACTGCCTCCCACCCTCGTAGATCTTTTGCTTGAGGATGCAGGCCACACCATGACTTTCTCTCCTTTTATCCGCATAGCAGCCATTGATGCAGAGGTATTCTTTGCAGCATGAGATGGTGCATTGTCATGCATGAAGATGATTTTATTACGGAAAGCATAGTTCTTCCTTCTGTACCAGGGACGAAAGTGGTCAGTCAGAAACTCCACATACTTTGCAGAGGTCATCTTTACACCTTCGGGGACCCAAAAGTGGCCGACCAGCTCTCTTCCCATGATTCCAGCCCAAAACATGACTCCACCACCGCTTTGATGACGTCGCAGCCTTGTTGGAACAGGGTGGCCGTCCACCAACCATCCACTACTCCATCCAGGGTTGCACGGCACTCATCAGTGAGCAGGACTGTTTGAAAATTAGTCTTCATGTATTTTTCTGCCCAATGCAGCCGTTTCTGCTTGTGAGCATTGGTTAGTGGTGGCCGAATAGAAGGTTTTGCACAGTTGCAAGACTCTAGAGGACTCTACACCTTGATGTCTGTGGGACTCCAGAGGCACAAGCAGCTTCAAATATCTGTTTGCTGCTATGTAAAGGTATTTTAACAGCTGCTCTCTTGATCCGATGCATGGATCTGGCAGAAATCTCTTAATAGTGCGATGATCACGCTTACGTTTTCGTGAAATATCTAATGTTTTCATACCTCGTCCAAGGCATTGAACTATTTTACACTTTCAGGCAGCAGAGAGATCCTTTTTCTTCCCTATATTGCATGAAAATGGTGCTCTGCTTAATAATCTGGAACACCCTCCTTTAGTAGCTTTTCCTTAAATTGGGCTCACCTGGCAATCTAATTATCACAGGTGTCGAGATTGTTTTCAGTGATCAAAAGAGCCTTGAGACACAATGTCATCCATGTGTTAAACTGAAAAACAAAATATTTAATCTTTGTGACAAATAGAATTTGCATAAAAATTTGGAACAGGGTGTAGTAAAAACCAAAGAAAAAAGTTACCTGCGCTCTTTCCACACCCCTATGTATTTTTAAACAAATGGAGGTTTTTAGTTACCTCCAATGTCCATGAGAGGGTATGCCCACCTGCCACGTCAAGGCAGACCTCCCAGGTGGGTCCCAACTCCAACCATTCACCTTGCTTCCCTGAGCTTCATTGGGATGTGGAAAGAGCGCAGGCAAAAAATTTTCTTTGGTTTTTACTATATGTATTTTGGCTGATGTGTACTATGGTCGTTGCTGCCACCCAGGAGTAATAGGAGTTTGAATTTAGGACTTGTTTCTTTGTATTTGTATTCACTTTTGTATCACACAGCTAGGTTGCTATGCTGCTGCCCATCCCATGTGTTCCCTATCAAGGGTAGAGATGTCGCGAACCGTTCGCGAACTTCCCGCGAACGGCTCGCCACGAACCGTTCGCGGCGAGCTCCGGTCAGCTGACACATCCGGGCCAATCTCCAGCAGACCCTCCCTCCTCCTGGACAGCATCCATGTTGAAGGCAGCTTCAACATGGATGCTGTCCAGGAGGTGGGAGGGTCTGGGAGGGAGAGTCTGCTGGAGATTGGCCCGGATGTGTCAGCTGACCGGAGCTCGTGGCGAACCACGGCGAGCCGTTCGCGGGAATTTCGCGACATCTCTAATTAAGGGTTAATAAGCATGTAGGGATATATATAAAAATACCCCTTTCTGTCTCATTAGAGATATTTTTTGCCAGAAGCTCAGGGAAGCAAGGCGAATGGTTGGAGTTGGGACCCACCTGCCTTGGCGTGGCAGGTGGGCATACCCTCTCATGGCCATTGGAGATAACTAAAAACCTCCCTTTTGTTTAAAAATACATAGGGATTTGGAAAGAGCGCAGGTAACGTTTTTTCTTTAATTCAATTTAAGTCCACCCAGTTTCCCTACCAGGAGCTGAAGTGGATCAGCTTACCCTGGGGTCCAGCAGGCAGCCAACTGATGGAGAATGGAGACGAGTGGCCGCATGCGCGTATTGTAGGCAGGCGGCGAGGGAGCTGTGATCTTCATGCTTTGCTCCATCACGCGCTGTTAAGTGATGCTGGGCCAGAGTGACGTAATTTTCGGCTCCAGCAGCAGAAAGATCACTGTTTGTCTACAGTTCGAGCAGCCTGATGCCCGCCCACCTCCGAGGGAACGGGCTCAGAAATCCCAGTTGCCAGAACGAAATTCCTAGTTGCCATGGCGACCCAGAATTTGTCGATCCCTGGACTAAATATTTATTAAAAACAAAAACAAGCTAACAAAGAAACCAAAAACTACAAGTTCCACTTTGTTTTTTCTTCTGTGTTAGTTGGGTGCCCTTCAAGTGCTGTCATAATGATAAAGCCTAGTGAAAACGTGCAATAAAGGAATACTACAGTCACCAAACAACTTTAGCTTAAGGAAGCAGTTGTGGTATATAGATCATGTCCCTGCAGTCTCACTGCTCAATTATCTGGTATTTAGGAGTTAAATCATGTTGTTTATGCAGCCTTAGTCACACATCTCTGCATGTGACTTGCACAGCCTTCTTAAAGACTTCCTGTAAAGAGAGATCTAATGTTTATACTTCATTTATTGCAAATTCTGCTTAATTTGGAATTTCATATCTCCTGCTCTGTTAATTATTTGCTAGACCTTTTACATGGGGGGGGGGGATTTTTTTTTCAGACATAGACCACAAAAACCTAAAATGAACTATATTCTCCTTAAACAAATAGCTGGGAACAAAAGAAGTTGACTTACGTTAGCTCTTTGCTTAGCACTATGTTGATTCTGTTCTTTAAAGGTCGATTCTTTTCCGGAATAGAAAACCATGTTTTTCTCCCCATTATCACAACATTTTGCTTGCCTATGTAAACAAAGTAATACAAGAATTAGAGATCAGAGGTTAACAGAGACAATCCAAGTAGCATACCCACTAGAGCTCCAAATAACCCTTTTTGAACACTTTCACAAAAAGGTTAGCATTCCTTGGCACAGTAAGTACACCCTGTTAGCTGGAAGCATCAAAATGGAAGTCAAATCCTTATTATACATCCAAAATGTATGTAAAGCATGACCATCCATTGTGCATGGTACTTACATCATGGAAGTAAGAACATGTGAGCACTGTGGTACCGAAGGATTCGGCCATGCAGAGTTGCATTTAACCCATTTGCCGCTTTAAATTCCTGCTCTACCCCCGGGGAAAACAGTCTCTCATTATACTATGTAAGAACACAATATAGACTCACATTCTACAAGTGTTGGCACCCTAAGTTTACTTCTTTGTTATCCGTCAAATATATCTGACGGATATCAAATAAGTAAACTTAGGGTGCTGGGTATTCAACCTGGATTGTGTCAAATAGCTTGAAAATTGCTGCACAGTCTCCTAGTACCATAAACTCCACAATAAACTGGAAGTTATGGTGTTTGAAGTGCTCCATTGGAAGCAATTCATAACAGAAGTGCTGCCACAGTGACATCTTATGGCACTTGAGCATATGGCTCACTTCTAAGAAGCACTGGGCATAATAAAAATGTCCCGCAATACTACTGATCCAAGCTCTGAGACAGTTACACAGATGTAGCTTCTTCATCTCTTACACAGGGACCAGAAATTCAGTAAAGTTTGGAATGTAGATGATATAAACCGGAATGGCAAAATTTAGCCTAAGAGACTCCGTGACTATAACGCAGTTATAGTAATTTTCCATATCAGATATTTTTGACTTTTTAATTTTAACTAGTTATAATTCAAAGTTTTGTGACAAATGAGTTACCTTCAACTGTTGGTGTCATGGTCATCTTCTGGAAATGTTTAAATTCATTCCTGAAACAATCAACATGGTAACAAATAATTACTATAAATGAAAAACAAACTAAATAAATGTTTTTCATTGCTTAGAGAACAGCAATGTTAATACAAACAATGTATTTTAACCCCTTCCCCTTCCCATATTGTGACGGACCGCCTGGCACCCCGACTGGGTACCTCCGTCAATCGCTGCTTCCTAGTACTTGCGAGCACCATAAGCACTGTACTCGAACACCATAACCACCATAGACCCCACGAACCGCCGTAGCTTGGTTGGGGTCTCGCCGTCCTCCACCCACCCTGGACCCAAGACCAGGATCCAGCTTCCAGTGGGTAGACCTCTCCTAGTCCACAGAAGTAGCAGAAACGGCTCTTATAAGAGCTAGTGATTATACTCAGGGGAGTATTGTGATATAGCAATCCCCAGTGAATGTAGTTCTCCAATCCCCCAAACATGAGCCAAGACTTCATGAAGGGGTAAACAAATCTCTCTTTAATGGGAGCCACACTGGCCTTTTATGCAAGTCCCCAACATGGACTGTGTTGGGGACAGGGACACAAACTTACAAACCAATAATAATACATTTACAATGTAAGACAATCGCACACAATCCCTCCACTCTGCTTGGGAGATAATTGGATCAGTAACTGTACTAATTCTAATCCAAGTATCTCCAAGGACAGAAAAAACATACTTTTTTAAAACACCCAAAAAATACATAAAACCCCACAAATGTTACACCCCCTGATAGCCCTGATCTGGGTGACCAACATATACAAAGTCTTATTTTTGATCAATCGTGCACATGGTCCCATGCCCAAAACCGTTCCAGAGAATTAGTGCAAACGGTCGGTCTCTCTGTCTGGAGTACAAAAGTACATACTTCACATTAACAGAGCCTTTTTAACCCCTTAAGACCACAGCCAAATGTACAAGTTGTGATCAAAACAAAACGTAAACAAAACCTGGCATTTGCGCTATATGTCTGTTTAACCGTAATTCACCTCTTTCATATTAAATGCACCCACACTTATTATATATCATTTTATTCAGGGCTTTCATTTAACATCAAATATTTAGGTATGGAACATAATTGAATATGAATAAAATAAAAAAAATGGGAGAGAAGATTTTTTTAAATTTTCTTAGTTGTACGAGACATTTTAACTGTGAATGTCAAAATACTGTTTGCGTTTACTGCAATAAAATACACGTATTTGTATTCAGCGATGTCTCACGTGTAAAACAGTACCCCCTATATACAGGTTTTATGGTGTTTTGGGAAGTTACAGGGTCAAATTTTTCATTTTTTTCACATTGAAATTCGCCAGATTGGTTACGTTGCCTTTAAGATCGTATGGTAGCCCATGAATGAGAATTACCCCCATGATGGCATACCATTTGCAAAAGTAGACAACCCATGTACAGGTTTTATGGTGTCTTGGAAACTTACAGGGTTATATATAGTGCTAGCAAATTAAATCCCCTGAACTTTCGGCCTGGGTTGTCAGGCAGGTCCTGCAAATTGTAATTAATAAAATGACCTAATTATGTAAAATTATTACATAAATATATACGTAGAATATATATATATATATATTTTATTTTTTAAAATTATTTTTATTTATATATAGTGATATATATGTATATACTTATGTATATAGAAATATATTATTTTGTTCTACATGTATTTTGTTATCAATATATATATATTAATTTTAAAATACAATTAGAACGAAATTACACATGTATATATATTTTTTAATTATTTTTAATGTATTTACATATTTGTTTATTTTATATTATATATAAATATATATACAATGATAATTGTATATATATTTAGCCAATATCATTGTACGTGTACTTTGATATGAATATATATATTAAAATACACTGACAGTGTATGTGTATATATATATATATATATATATATATATATATATAATCTAAGTATATATTATTTAATTTTACACTGTTTTAACGTGTTTTTTTTTTTTTTCAGACAGCAGGGGGAGGCACTCACAAGGACCTCGCGATCACATGGCCCAGAGGGACCGAAGAGGAAGGAGGGGGACTTCCTTGGCTCCCAGGGACGTTCTATGCCGCCCTGCTGCGTTTAGAGCCGCTTCCTTAAGGACGGCATAGAACGCCCTACGGTCTTAAGGGGTTAAAGTATTTTAGCCAGGTCTATTGCAGGGGCCATAGTCACAGGGTAGGTGGCTGGCAAACAGGCCCCTCCAAAAACTTGTGGCAAACTCACAGGAAAAAATATAATATATAATATACATCAATATACATATAATATGCACTTGTGATGCGAATATATATATTTTAAATTCCATTCCAAGTGTATTTTGATTATATATAAATATATAGTATGTAAACAAAACAAACAAATGAAAAAAGCACTCACAGGGCAGATTTCAGGTAATTATAACTGCCTTCATTGAAGCAGATTCAGTGTCACAGCAATAAGTTCAATATTTATTTATTTATTTATAAAATATTTTACCAGGAAAGATACATTGAGATTTCTCTCGTTTTCAACTATGTCCTGGGTAGTTCAGTCCTATAGTGGACTTTATCAAGGTCCTAATAAGCAGCAAAGTTGCTATTGTTATATTGTAATCTAGGTTGGAAAAAAAACTAAAGCCCATCAAGTTCAACCTTGAGATCCATTCTTTGATCCAAAAGAAGAGCCTCCCCTCCCCTAATTGAAGACATTTCCAATTATGCCACAAAAAGGCATAGGATCTTTCTTGACTATATAATGGCAATCAGATTTCTCCTTGGATCCACAACCTGTCTCCATCCATTTGAATTATATCTTTTATATACTTGAATATTCTCTGTTTAGATAAAAGCATCCATGTATTTTCAAAAGTATCTATAGAATCAGAAAACCCCATTAGATAGAGAAATCTAAATATCTATTGTTCTCACTGAAAAGAACCCTGTGCTCTGCTGTCTCAATGGGTGACCTCCCGTCTATTGTATATTCCTACTAATGAACAGGTAAGCACACAGCAGTTTTTACTAACCCTGCATATATCTGCACAGGTGCTATCACATGCCCTCTGATTCACCTTTTTTTTTTTTTCTAAATAAAACAAATTAAAGGGATCCTATAGTGCCAGGAAAACAGTTTTCCTGGCGCTATAGGCTTAATAGGACCCCCACCCACTACCGCGGGGCTGAAGAGGTTAAAGCCCCTTACCTAAATCCAGCGCTGATGTCCCTAAGCGCTGGGTCAGGCTCTGCCCACGCTCCCTCCCCCCACAGCTGACGTCCTAATGCGCATGCGCAGCAATGGCTGCACACGCATTAGACCTCCCATAGGAAAGCATTATTCAATGCTTCCTATGGGGAAAATCTGACGCTGGAGGATGTGAGGACGTCCAGCGTCAGATAACGGACCAAAAGATTCTGGAAGTGCCCCCAGTGACTGCCTGGTAGACAGCCACAGACGGCAGACTTAGAACTGCAATGTAAACATTGCAGCACTAAGTGCAAAGGGTCACAGCACCCAGACCACTTCAATGAGCTGAAGTGGTCTGGGTGCCTACAGTGTCCCTTTAAGTTTTTCTAGCCTTACGTCAGATCTAATATTTTCCATCCCTTTAATTAATTTTGTAGCTTGCCTCTGCACTTTTCCTAGTTCTGCAATATCAATTTTTAAAAGTAGTGGGCTTTTACCATTTATTTATAAAGAAGCAAAATTATATTTTGATCATGCACTATCATTGAAGGTACACTGTATGCACTTTAACAATGTAATTTTATTGAAGTAGGTTTAGTGCCTGCAGCCCTGTCCCCTCTTCATTAACTCCCCAAACCTTTTTGTTTACTAGAGGGCTTGGAAGCACAGCTTCAAACCATGCTTTCAAGCCCTCGTTATGAGAGCCAGGAACCTTACTTCTCGACTCTCTTACCGTAATGCCACATATGCAGTGCCGTCACGCTTGTATTCAATGATTCTATGTGGCAGAATCCTAGACGCATTTCGACGAGTCCTGTGCGTTCGTCTAAGTTCCCCAATGCTCCTCTATGAGGATGCGTTGGCCTGTCATCCTGGAGGCATGCAACCCAAGGAGGAGGTTGCGGCAGCGTCAAGGTAGACTCTATGCTGGAGAAATGGTGAGTAATTCACTTTATTTTATGCACGGAGGAAACCCTAATTGATAAGGGGCATCAGGACTTTAGTGTTAGAAATACAGATATGTATTTTAAAAGCTAGTGTTCTATCCATGAACAGGCTTTTACATCAAAACCAATTGATTTCAGTAAACACTTGTGTGAAGGGGGTGTAGTGCCAATTGCCAATGCAGATAGCATGTGGGCTGTAACTATTCATATCTAGAGATTTTTTTACAGATCAGCTTTTTAATTTGGTGTTACTCTGTTAAAATTCAGAGTTTAATGAACAACCCTATGAATGTCACGGACTATTGGCAGGTACCCCAAACTGAAATTATTTTGTGTCAGGACAAATAGATTGGGCTACCCCTTTAGTCCCTTTCAAAAGTAAATTATTTTCAAAATTTTTTTTTTTTTTACATTCTTCCAAAACTCTTATTCTAAAATGGCTTTACTCTTTACAATGGGGTCAGGCACTCATAGCACCATAACCACTACAGCAAGCTGTAGTGGTTATGGTGCTCTGAGGGTCCCTTCAATGAAGTAGTAACTAGATATTATTATTATTATTTTGGCAATACATTGTCGCAGTATGTATATAACACATTGAACATTCCATGACTTCCATCTCTACAATGCCTTGGCTGCCAGGTCTGCCCAACGTCTAAAGTTCCCTCCAACTTGTTGACTACAACTCCCATCATCCGCTGCTGGCCCATGATGAGACTGCCAGTGGTTACACCCGTTCTGTATTCCCATCATACCTTAGATAAGGCCATGGCAGAGTGCCATCCTTGCCAATGCCCATTCCGGGCGGGCACACGGCCACTATAGAGTGTAACACCCGGCTTCTCATCTCTCCAGCTGGAATACAGAGAGGGACAAGGGTCGCAGAGAGCAGCGTGACCCGAGTACAGCTCCTCCCCAGCCAGGCTCACCCAGAGCGGGAGACAGCACGGGGCGGGACCGGGGATGGGCTGAGGCCTACTGGGAGGGGACAACACAAACTGCATGGATACCCTTACTAATACTGTATACAATATGCACAGAGACTGCATGGATACCTTTACTAATACTGTATTAAATATACACAGACTGCATGGATACCCTTACTAATATAAAATATGCACAGACTGCATGGATACCTTTACTAATATAAAATATGCACAGACTGCATGGATACCTTTACTAATATAAAATATAGACAGACTGCATGGATACCTTTACTGATATAAAATATAGACAGACTGCATGGATACCTTTACTAATACTGTATTAAATATACACAGACTGCATGGATACCTTTACTACTAAATACTATGCAACTGGAGTACACACAGACTGCATGGATACCTTTACTAATACTGTATAACATATACACAGACTGCATGGATACCTTTACTAATATAAAATATACACAGACTGCATGGATACCTTTACTAATATAAAATATAGACAGACTGCATGGATACCTTTACTAATACTGTATTAAATATACACAGACTGCATGGATACCTTTACTACTAAATACTATGCAACTGGAGTACACACAGACTGCATGGATACCTTTACTAATACTGTATAACATATACACAGACTGCATGGATACCTTTACTAATACTGTATAACATATACACAGACTGCATGGATACCTTTACTAATATAAAATATACACAGACTGCATGGATACCTTTACTAATATAAAATATAGACAGACTGCATGGATACCTTTACTAATACTGTATTAAATATACACAGACTGCATGGATACCTTTACTACTAAATACTATGCAACTGGAGTACACACAGACTGCATGGATACCTTTACTAATACTGTATAACATATACACAGACTGCATGGATACCTTTACTAATATAAAATATACACAGACTGCATGGATACCTTTACTAATACTGTATTAAATATACACAGAGACTGCATCTATACCTTTACTAATACTGTATTAAATATACACAGAGACTGTATATATACCTTTACTAATACTGTATTAAATATACACAGACTGCATGGATACCTTTACTAATACTGTATTAAATATACACAGAGACAGCATATATACCTTTACTAATACTGTATTAAATATACACAGACTGCATGGATACCTTCACTAATATAAAATATACACAGACTGCATGGATAACTTTACTAATATAAAATATACACAGACTGCGTGGATACCTTTACTAATACTGTATACAATATACACAGACTGCGTGGATACCTTTACTAATATAAAATATACACAGACTGCATGGATACCTTTACTAATATAAAATATACACAGACTGCATGGATAACTTTACTAATATAAAAATATACACAGACTGCATGGATACCTTTACTAATATAAAAATATACACAGACTGCATGGATACCTTTACTAATACTGTATACAATATACACAGACTGTATGGATACCTTTACTAATATAAAATATACACAGACTGCATGGATATCTTTACTACTACTGTATAAAATATACTCAGACTGCATTGATACCTTTACTAATATAAAATATACACAGAGTGCATGGATACCTTTACTACACAGAGACTGCATGGATACCTTTACTACTACTGTATAAAATATACACAGAGACTGCGTGGATACCTTTACTACTACTGTATAAAATATACACAGAGACTGCATGGATACCTTTACTAATACTGTATAAAATATACACAGAGACTGCATGGATACCTTTACTACTACTGTATAAAATATACACAGACTGCGTGGATACCTTTACTACTACTGTATAAAATATACACACAGACTGCATGGATACCCTTACTACTAAATACTATGCAACTGGAGTACACACAGACTGCATGGATACCCTTACTAATACTGTATACAATATACACAGACTGCATGGATACCTTTACTAATACTGTATACAATATACACAGACTGCATGGATACCTTTATTAATATAAAATATACACAGACTGCATGGATACCTTTACTAATATAAAATATAGACAGACTGCATGGATACCTTTACTAATACTGTATTAAATATACACAGACTGCATGGATACCTTTACTACTAAATACTATGCAACTGGAGTACACACAGACTGCATGGATACCTTTACTAATACTGTATAACATATACACAGACTGCATGGATACCTTTACTAATATAAAATATACACAGACTGCATGGATACCTTTACTAATACTGTATTAAATATACACAGAGACTGCATCTATACCTTTACTAATACTGTATTAAATATACACAAAGACTGCATATATACCTTTACTAATACTGTATTAAATATACACAGACTGCATGGATACCTTTACTAATATAAAATATACACAGACTGCATGGATATCTTTACTAATATAAAAATATACACAGACTGCATGGATACCTTTACTAATACTGTATACAATATACACAGACTGCATGGATACCTTTACTAATACTGTATACAATATACACAGACTGTATGGATACCTTTACTAATATAAAATATACACAGAGTGCATGGATACCTTTACTACACAGAGACTGCATGGATACCTTTACTACTACTGTATAAAATATACACAGAGACTGCGTGGATACCTTTACTACTACTGTATAAAATATACACAGAGACTGCATGGATACCTTTACTAATACTGTATAAAATATACACAGAGACTGCATGGATACCTTTACTACTACTGTATAAAATATACACAGACTGCGTGGATACCTTTACTACTACTGTATAAAATATACACAGAGACTGCATGGATACCTTTACTACTAAATACTATGCAACTGGAGTATAAACAGACTGCATGGATACCTTTACTACTACTGTATAAAATATACACAGACTGCATGGATACCTTTACTAATACTGTATAAAATATACACAGAGACTGCATGGATACCTTTACTACTACTGTATAAAATATACACAGAGACTGCATGGATACCTTTACTACTACTGTATAAAATATACACAGAGACTGCATGGATACCTTTACTACTACTGTATAAAATATACACAGAGACTGCATGGATACCTTTACTACTACTGTATAAAATATACACAGACTGCATGGATACCTTTACTACAACTGTATAAAATATACACAGACTGCATGGATACCTTTACTACTACTGTATAAAATATACACAGAGACTGCATGGATACCTTTACTACTACTGTATAAAATATACACAGACTGCATGGATACCTTTACTACAACTGTATAAAATATACACAGAGACTGCATGGATACCTTTACTACTACTGTATAAAATATACACAGACTGCATGGATACCTTTACTAATAAAATATACACAGACTGCGTGGATACCTTTACTAATATACATTATACACAGACTGCGTGGATACCTTTACTAATATACATTATACACAGACTGCGTGGATACCTTTACTACTATAAAATATACACAGACTGCGTGGATACCTTTACTACTATAAAATATACACAGACTGCGTGGATACCTTTACTAATATAAAATATACACAGACTGCGTGGATACCTTTACTAATATAAAATATACACAGACTGCGTGGATACCTTTACTAATATAAATTATACACAGACTGTGTGGATACCTTTACTAATATAAAATATACACAGACTGCGTGGATACCTTTACTAATAAAATATACACAGACTGCGTGGATACCTTTACTAATATAAAATATACACAGACTGTGTGGATACCTTTACTAATATAAAATATACACAGACTGCGTGGATACCTTTACTAATATAAATTATACAAAGACTGCATGGTTACCTTTACTACTATAAAATATACACAGACTGCGTGGATATCTTTACTAATATAAAATATAAACAGACTGCCTGGATACCTTTACTAATATAAAAATATACACAGACTACGTGGATACCTTTACTAATATAAAATATAGATAGTAAAGTTATCCATGCAGTGCATCTGTGGTGGAATCTCGGTAAAAATAAATTTAGTAGGCCGAGATTACCACGTGGCATGTGTACGTGCATATGCTGACGTATCGATCAGTTGGTTGCACGAGGCAAGATACGATCAGTAGTGTACGGAGCATGTGCAAGAATACAGGATGTAGTATTCCCCTCCTCCATTGTGCTGGACAAGCCATGCGGTCAAGCAGGAAGTTAATTCTTATTTGTAATGATTGGTCAAGAGAATGTGCGGGTGGAGCTTAATATGGGAGGAGTTATGTGCCTATATAGGGAGCCTGCACTATTGTTCATGGCTCAGAACTTGCTGTATTTTTGGTGACATTAGTCCCTCTGAGTCCCGATCGGTGATCCAATAAAGAATCTCTTCCTTCCTGAAGAAACCTGTGTCCATCCCTCTGTGCTTTGCTTCCGTCAGTTTCTCCGGTATCATTTGGTGCATTGGCCGGGAAGCTCATCGCTCAACGGTAGCTGAGAGGCAGAGGCGTGAGACGGTCTATCTTTGCCCACGTTCTCTACGGCTGCACCCCTGAACTTCTGCGTGGACCTCCCTTCGTCTCGGCGCCACTGGTCTGTTGTCCAGGAGATCATCGGCCTCTACGTAAGAAGTGCTGGGGTGTCCCCGTCGATGAGTGTGAACTCAGGTTCAGGAACGAGGAGGTAAGACAACTGCTGTTTTAGACGGCAGACCCACTAGGGGTATACCGATTGTGCGGTAGGCCCAAAAGGGGTTTAAATCTGTGTATGGAATCTGCCCCCTCTGTCGGAGGGAAGGAGCGAAGGCGCACCGCTCGATCGAACGCTCTTTAGTAAGACCGTTTGATCTGGTTAGTCAGGCGGGGTCCTGTGTAAATAGCCCTAGCCGGACACCGGTGTCTTGTCTAGACTAGCGTTCTAGGGTGTATATTACGTTCGCTAGGTCGGAGGGACCGGGAGACTAAGCGGCGCCTGTGTAAATTCGGTTCGCTAGCTCTCAACCTATCTTGGCTAAGTGGGAAGGCGTGTAAATTTGGAACCCACTAGACTTTTGATAGAGTAAATAGACT